ATAAATATAGGAAATAAATGAAAGAATAGTAGAGGACAGACGAAATTTAGGAATTGAGGAAGTGATCCTTGACACGTTGTTTGAAGGAATCAAGAGAAGGGGATCGTCGAATCGATTCAGGGAGAGAATTCCACAATCTGATCGCAGAAGTGGTAAAAGAGTTAGAATAAAAGTTAAGAGGTATGAGAGGGCAAATTTAGTATGAGAGTATCAGAGGAGCGAAGGGGACGGCAGAGTGTAGAAGAGTGGAAAGTAAAGCAATCTTTAAGATAAGAAGGCGTAAAGGGATAGAATATAATTGAGTAGAGAAGTGAAAGAATATGAAGATCTCTACGCCGATGGATGGGCAGCCATTTAAGTTGTGCGCGAAATTGGAAGACATGGTCAAATTTACGAAGTCCGAAGATGAATCTAACACACATGTTTTGGAGCCGTTCCAATTATTGAGCAGAGTGACTGACAAATCCGGGTAGCAAACATCTGCAATGTCCAGTATCAGGTGGAGAATGCTCTGGGCCAGAGTAATTTTTGTTTTACTCGGCAAAAAGTTTTTAAGCCTTCTCAGAGAGAAATGCGCACCAAACACCTTCCTGCTAACCTCACGAACGTGCGGCTTCCAAGTCAGAAAAGTTACTCCCAAATTCCCGACTGTATCCAAATAGGAACACAGACCATCGAAAACCACAGGGGGTTACAGGTAATAATATAATAATATAATAATAATAATAAAACAAGTACAATAATATTTGGTTAGGCATGATGATACAAAAGTACAATCATTATAAACTTAACCATAAACTTCTCACTTCACTTTCTTTATCATAGAATCGGAAGTAAAATTTAGATCAATTTCACTCTGATACTCCTTATACAGCGTTGTAGCTCGTGGTAAGAAGCAATGTAGCCTAAAATTTGTGCGACATTGGTTTATGGAAGAGCCTATTACTACCAGACTTCGGTAATTGTTGCGCGATAAGGAGTTCTATTTTAGAGAGCAGACCAGGGCAATCAATAATGCCTGAGATAATTCTTTTGATAAAGGTCAGATCAATCACTTTTCTACGGGTTTCTAGTGTAGCCGTCTTTAAATGTTTTAAACGATTTTCATATGATGCAAGTTTTGCAGCTAATTTGCAAGAGTAGGTTCAATGCCACATAAACCTTTTCTGGAACTTTTCACCGCGGTGAATGTCTGTTCCTAATATTCCAAGTAACTTCTTACTAGATAGTTATACATGACTATCTTAGTATGAGATTTTTTGAAATTTCTACACTCCCTTAATACGAATACGTGCATTTTAGTAGTCTTTAGTACACATATATTGATATGTTTATCAAATCTTAGTAGAGAATCTATTTGGATGCCTAAATCGCAAATTTCCTGAACTTCGTCACACTACTTATACTGTGTTTGTTTAATATTGCGGTTGCGAGAGACTTCAATACGTTTGCACTTTTTTATATTGAGCGTCGTTTTATTCCGATTACACAAAACAGTTAATCTATCTAAATCCTGCTGAAACAAGATAGAATCAGTATCGTTCCTAATCGATTTAATAGCTTTTAGGTTGTCAGCGAACATGTACAGATCAGAATAAAGAAAACATTGTTCCACGTCATTAATGAAAGATTGAATAAGTAAGGTCCCAAATGAGATGCCTGTGGAATGCCAGATGATGCCTCGTACGGTCTTTTTTTTTTTTTTTTTTTTTTTTATACATGACAGGCAAATGACTCCACTCCACCTGATGTTAAGTGGAAAGTGGTATCCAAACGCGAAGGACCCTAGTGCAGCGATGAAATCCTCACTGCACTAGCCACCTCCACCCTCCTGCCTACAAAAAAAGGTCTTGAACTGAATCCATTTAATACAACTCTTAAGACACGTTACAAATTTTTCCCATACCGATGATAAGTCGGGTGACTTATTGCTATATTTTTACTTCTTCTCTAAGTCAAACTCAAATAATCTTCATTTTATAGGTAAGCTCTGGGCGAACTCTTTCACAAGGAGCGCTACTGCTACTAAAACTCCCATCGTAGTAATGAAAATATTTACATCCATTTCTACTTAAGTTATATCTACGACTACTAGATACGATTTACCTTGTACCGGACCTATGAAATGTAGAAGTATCCTAAACCACGGCTTCTTAGGTCACGGCCATTGGGGTGAAACTGGCCGCGTCGGCCAACGTCGGCCGCGTCGGTCGGTATTCGCTTGCACACCACACAATCGTGGCGAATGAGCTCCATCATACATAACTACAGGCCATCGATTTCGATTTTACTACTCCCGTTTCAGCTTCGTAGAGCAATTGTAACACCTTCTGTTTACAATTTTTAAAATTTTTTTTAGGGGTCATTAAGCTGTGCTCCCCACATAACGAATCCAAGTTCTTATGATATTATTCAATGCTACATTATTATATTATTGCATACCTAATATCTCACAAGTGGAAAGACATCCGTCCTGTACACAGCTCTATACTTTCGATAACAACGAATCCCGCCTTGCCTGATATTTAATTTAATTGTAATGTAATAATAATGCTTGTCGTATAAAATATGACTAACTTTTCTTGCGAAGCACGTGACTTATTTTTTAATAGCCGACGCGGTGAACGTGATTTTACGTCCGCCCCATTATTATCCGATCTAACGTATTCAATCTGAATGTGTAGGCAGATAAAATAATAGCCCAAATTTGCATACAGCTAGCGACCATATCGTCGCCTTAGATTGAAAACCTCGCTCGCATACGCGTTTTCACAGTTTGTTTTTACTGATTTTTGTTGAAGAAAAACTTATAAACTTCTTGCTTAAATATATTAGTATCTGAAAGAGGTATAATTTAACTAATTAAAATGATAACTACAAACATTATTGCGTTTACTACATTTTTCTCTTCGTCCTGAAAAATTACATAGATCTCACATACGAGGTTTTCACTCTAAGAGAACGATATACGTATGCGGTTCAAGTATCGAATAAAGAGGTTTATGATGTCGGGCCATTGACTTACGTCAATGTGTCGGGCATACAAATGTGGTCGCTAGAGCTTCGTTACAAATTTGTGAATATTATTTTTATGATATCAAGTGACGAGACGAGCAAGTCGTGTGCTTGGTGATAAGCGACATGCCGTCCATAATAGTTGATGGTTGCAGTGCCACTCAGGGCTTAATGCCCTCTAATCACAAAGATCTGAGAGGCACGATACTGCCACTGCACCCGTCATCCTGAGACATGAATTAACATGTCCACGTGCCTGCAATTTCACTTTACCCTTTAAAACTGGAACGTAGTAATGTGAGCATTTGATGGCAGAAATAAGTAAGGTGGTAGTACTTCCGTGGACGAACTCTTTCACAAAGAACTCTACTGCTACTAAACTCTACTGCTACTAAAAAGAGGTCTTTATGGATACCCCTGAGCCCAGGGAGACTCAGGAGTTATGTGGGGACTCTCCCTCCAAACTGGAGTGACTACCCCACTAAAACCCCCCCGGGTTTCCCTCTCGCCGGTTGAGTCGGCGCCGTGGGATCAGTGAACATTCACCACGACGCCGCCCGGCCGCCCTAGCTTACGCCAGGGCTCCCGCGCCAACGGAGGGGCGAGTCGGTTGTCCTCCGACCCGCCCCCCAGACGAGTGAGGCTGTGCAGTGCAGGCTCCGGAGTCCCTGTCCAGAGCCCGCTGGTCTCACTAGGGGATCAGGCGAGCAGCGAACTGCCTTCGCCTTCTCCCCGTACGTCAGCGCCGGAGCGGGTGCGCGTCCGCCGCGTCCTCGCGCACCCGCTCCGCGGCCTCCTTTTGCGACATAACCTCTGCGCAAAAGGTTGCCTAAACCCCCTAACCTAACCTTCATTGGCCCCTGGCTGATGCTTGCTGTTCGCGCTGCAGCCACCACTGCGTTCAGCTACTTTCATACGTTAACCAATCGTCTACCGTTTTTCTCTAATAATATCACTCTATGAACAGAAACTGATGGCGCTAATTTTCGTCAAAGTGTGTCGAAATTCCTATTTTAATTTAGCAAAATACCTGCCAATCTTATGTTATTTGTCTCTGCATTGTCTGAATCCGTAACAATCCGCTAGCGCTGACAGAGTCGATTGTTTTTTATTGGACCAGCCAAGTTTACTAAAGTTTCTCGTCGTCTCATCACCCATGACCGCTATAAAAGTTTGTCATTTTAAACTGTCTTAAATATAGTTACTAACTGTGAAATAAATTTCTTAGCTATCGACGTAAAGAGTCACAACGCCTCATATCAAATTCAAATACAGGTTAGATAGCTATTGTTTAAAAGTTCAACAAACTGAATAGTTAAAACATTCAATTCACTGTCCAAAAAAATCTTGTTTGCCCATGTAATGTTCAAGGGTGACTAGGATGTGAGGGAAACGCGACGGTTGGTTAACACGTTTATCGCAGAACTGCCTGACACGTGCAAAATTATCTACTATGTATCTACATTATGGTATAAAATATAATACAAAAATAAATAGTATTTACATTCTGATTTAATTTTCAGTTGGTATTTAGCGTTACATTAATAAACTAATATTTCATAATTTATTTATAACAAGAGATTTCTCATACAAGAAATTCTTAATTCATTACGGCTCAGTACACATTTGTACATTTATTTTAACGGGGTTCTAGACACCTAGTAATTATACAAGTAATATTCTGAAATAATATGTTCTTTATAGAATGTAATATAATTATATTGTGAAAGTCGTTGTTCGTAAAAACATAAATAAGTACAGTATAGTTGACAAATACCGACTGAATTAAATAATATTGTTTGAATTGTTCAGGCACACATGTAACACTTCGTCGCTTATGACGGCGTTAATAATTCAGGGTCGTTCCAGTACAGACGTGCATATTTTACGGGAAAAAGTACCGGCGAATGATGAGTTTGCCGGCCGACCTAGTTCGTGCCCGCTCGATGCCGCCTGCGGCGCTGCCCGCCCGTCGCGCCAGTCGCCCGCCCAGAATAGACGCAGCACGTGCGTCGGCCGCGGCACAAGTCGCGCCGCACCTCGTTCCGCCGCACGTTACGCCGCCCGTTTCGTGCCGTAACCACTCCGACGTATATCGCGACCGGTCTTCACACAAATCAACCCTCCATCCAACCCAACTTTATAGATCCAAAAACTTCTAACGTAAACTCGTACCCAAGCGTCTAGCCTTGTACCACCTTTGTCACTGGCGGACTGTTTATTCCAAAGTTGTAAACTATTAATAACTCGTGAGGTTAAAGTATTCGTCGACTGTTTACTCACTGTGTGCTTTGCTATCGTAGTGGCCTTGTTCGTTATCTCATACCGCTCCGAGCTCTTGTTACTCTTTTGTCAAAATTTACGTGTATTTGCCTCTAATAAAGTTTATACGTTGTTATGTTTGACTAGTGGAATAGATGTGTGATATTTAAATAAGTGATGAAAATAGCCTTATAGGAAAAAATATAACAGTAACAATGTGCCTTATAGCTTATGTTTGAGTTGTTGCTTCGTGCAACTATTTAAATACAGAGTGTGAATTGCCGGGAGAGTCTTCAAGCTATGCAGTGCTTCAAATTGGCGGTGCTGCTGTCATTCTTGCTGCCGGAACCAGTACCTGCTAAAAATCACGACGTTTTGTAAGACGTTTTTCTTACGTTGTTGTCAGAATCACATTTTTTAAAATTATAGTATAGTTAACTAATATTATAAATGTGAAAGTGACTCTGTCTGTTACGTTTTCAAGCCTAAACCACTGAACCAATATTGATGAATTTTGGTAAGAGATAGGTGGGATCTAGGAAAAGGATATAGGCTACCTTTTGTCACAAAAATAAATCTTAAAGGGGGTGAAAGTTTGTATGGAGAACCAATAAAACTATTAATTTTAGTATATAGTACCGTATGCTACTTAAACTACTTATTTTACGCAGGTGAAGTCGCGGGCACCATCTAGTAATTTTTATAATAAATATGAAATTGCTGTTTTATATAAGAAAATTCCAATAAAATATATTTATTTGATTAAAATAAGCACTTATGATGATGAACAAGCACTCTTGCTATCAATATATTTTTGCCACTTTCTTGGAAACTTATGTATTCCTTTATAGACTATTACAAAACTCACATAGTCTTGGACCTCATTTTCGTATGATTTCCGGGAACCAAATTGTTTTCCTTTTAGTCAAAAGTGGTAGTCGGTAAATCACCTGATTATGCCTACCATTTTCATTTAACTCACCCGACTGTAGAGAGTGCTAAACTATATTAATCGGCAATTCCGGTGAAGTGAAGATGCTTTGTTCCTAATTAATTAATAAAGAAACCACTTTTCATCACAAGTAATGACACGGCCAAAAACTCCCACATCTATGTGTCAATTAATTAAGCGGATAATTAACTAAGTGCAAGGTTTACATGTTGCTCATTGTAGTTCGGACAATTTGTTTGGTTGTCTTTCTAGTTTTATGTCAAACCGTATTGCCAGTTCAGATTATATATATAATCAAAATCAAATCAAAACATTTTATTTCAGATATTATAGATATTAGTTATAAAAACAAAGATTTATACATACCTATTTAAGAAGAAAAAAATGTGATTTCATCCCTAGACTTCTTCGTGGCGCGGCAGTATTTTGCCACCAATCCTTTTTTATGTATAAGATGCCACCAATGTTAACATTTTTTTCGCTCACACGCCAAGAATCATTCAGAAAAGTTTATATAGTGATTGAAATGAATCTGATTAAGAAAAAAGCACTTCTAGATATTTAACATTTGAAAAGCTCTAAAAGCGCTTGCCTGTACTGCCTTAGAACTATTTCGGGCAGAATTACTTTTTTTTAAATTATCTTTTCTACAATTTTAATCAACAAAAAATTAACAAATGGAATAAAATTATACCTACATTACAGTAGCTACAATGGATAGTTCATGAAATTGTACTCACCAAAAGTTCACTTCATTTGAATTTCATTTTCATTCATTTGAACTTTGAGCATACATTGCTTAGGTACACCTATTTTCTGATGATATGTTATCATGGATATTCCTTCCTTTCCTAAAAAGGATGGTCAGTTTTCTAAAGAGGGTCAGTGTATACAACCTACCAAGGCAACTTAACTAATTTAAAAAATGGTGGCTTAATTCGAGCTAAAGACTTTTCACTTAAATAAAATTTTTGTCAGATAAAATTGTAAAAACTTATGTTTTTAATATGGGTAGACACTAAAGTGCAATGCAAATTGAAACCATATTTATGGTTACACATGTTAAAAATTATAATTTTTACATTCACTGTAAAATATTATAAAGACAAAAGCATAACATAGAAATTATACACGCCCACGTGCGCAGTGAGCAGATTGCCACCGCACGACACCCAGTGGTAACAACCCTCACGTGCCGCGGTCGTTTAAACTACGGTACTGAATAATTTGGACCTGAAAAGGTGAATATGACATTATATGACAAATATGACATTTTCACACAAGAGTCATGATCAGGGTGTAACAAAAGCTGTGTCTTTGCACTTAACAAATGCAATGAAATGTTCATTTGCTAACACATTTTGTAACTTTCATAGATTTTGCAATAAGAGAATGAAACTTGACAAATTTATATATTTTGGCTAAAGATCTCCAGTGTCCTGGGTACTTCTAATATGTCAGAGTACAAGCAGCTCTAATGAAATCAAATTTTGATTGTGTTGTTCTACACGAAGGTAATAATAATTAAACTAAATTAAAAAAAAAAAACAAATATTTTGTTGCAGAGTCAAAAGATGGTCTGTGAAGCTAGGTGATCAGCTGTGGGATCTCAACTCGGCGCTCACAAGACCCGAGGAACTTAAACAGGTATTGTTTTTTAATTTAAGCATATTACCTTTTTAAACTCGTATCTAGCATAAAGTTACTGATATGTAAACAATGGATTGCATATACAAATGTTGCAAGCCGATTTCACATCACATTTCCTTCGTATTTACATGCTAGCTTTTACCTATTCTTAAAGTAATGCATCAAAATTGAAACCCTTGATAAGAAATTGAAAATAAATAGAAGTATAGTTTTGCCATCGACTGAATAATCACTCTTTATAAGATACGAGTTCAAGAAGGTAAGGCGACGACTTGTTAGTGTCAGATTCTTAGATTTTTGCGATTGTTGCACGTAGGACATGATACTACTACTTTTTCGGATTTAAATAGCGTATATTTGTTTTTTCAAACAAATTACCGTTTTTATTTATTATACGGAATAACGTAAGTAGCTATTAGTGACGAACGGTTGCTAGGGCCGCCCGCACAACTATCGAATTTGAACGCAAGTTTGTAAGGGCTAGGCCTTATGAGCCGTTTGACGTAAGTGCGGATTGGGCTCTCCTAACAAAATTCAAGTATGTATATATGTCATATTCAGGCAGGACCTCGTTGTTGGAGCATGTTAATAAATATATATACAAACAAATCTATATATTAATTTGACTTGTGTGACTAATAAAAAGGGACAAACACACTATTGACATTAACACTACACTTTACAAGATAACATGTATAATGTTATCTTGATATATTGTATTACATATATTTCAAAGTTAAGAAAGTAATTTTTTTTTATAATATCAAGCGTCTTTTTTTTTGTTTAAAAGGCTGAACATATTACCTTTGCCATGCATGTACATTAGGGATATCTGCGTATTTGTCAACTCTCATCCTCAATATTTTAAAACACGCGGTGAAGTCATTCAAAGGCAAACTAGAGCAAAAATTATGAATCTCTTATACCAACCTCGTTGCCATAAAGTAATTTATAAGAATAACTGCTTCAACATGTGTATAATTATTTACAATAAATTACCAAACAAAATTAAATTGTTGCAAGGACATACTTTTAAATTAAAATTGACAAAATGGCTTTTGACACATTGCTTCTATAGTAATAAAGAATACCTACTTAGAATTTACAAATTCATTACATTAATTAGAAACTATAGAGACTAAAGAAACATTGAATCCCATTAATATTTGCACATCTGCTTGCAGGTTGAATATAATGTACCTAATTTTACATAAGACCTTTGTAATTACTGTATTCTGGCAAATAAACGTATTCTATTCTATTCTATTCTTCACGAACAAGTTGTGCGCCTAGTGGTAAGCGATACGCCTGTCCATGACAGTTACAGTCCACTCCGAGCTTTAAATCACAAATATCTGAGGGGCACTGCCACTGCGCCCGTCACCCTGAGACATAAGTTGACAAGTTTCATGTGTCGAGTTTTACCCTTACCCTTGAAAACCGGACACATTCACACAGGACGGACGTTCACATTACTACTTGGGGGCAGAAATCTCATTTTCCATTCTCTGGACAAACTCTTTCACAAAGAACTATACTGTACGAAATCAGGTGTCAGCGGCCAAAATAACCCCATAATATCGGAGTATATTATCTTATGCAATCTAAGACGTTACGTGTCTGGCAAATCTACTTGAGAAAAGATTGGCAGAAAGCAAAATTAAGTCGAAGGAAATCTGGAATGTAATGAATGAGGAAATAGGCACAAAAAGTAGCGTTTCAAATATCAGACTACAAAATTTAACGTCTCAAATTCGCACCATTAGGTGGGCGACTTGTCCGTCCCATCACTTGGTCTTATAAGTTAAACCCCTTGGTGTAATAAGGCCACATCTGCAAAATACTACGTTTCAGGAGAGGGGTTTAAAGAACCAGAAGGTCTAAAATCATTGTCATTAGTATTATTCAAAAAGAAACTGACATCGACATTGGTCAATAAATTTTATAAAATGAATGAATATCTACATGACAACTTTTAGTTACTTAATTGAATTGGATTATATTTTTGGTTTAATGTTTTTACTAACATCTGACATGTGTCATTGTATTTTTGACAGTTAATATTAACATTTTAATGATATTAGTATTATTTTAAAATGTCTCCATCGCTTGTTGGCAAAATATGCTGAATTTATATATTTAATATAAATTCAGCATATTTTATAATATTTATTATGTTGCAACGTCTAATTTTATTGTACCATATTGAAAAGAAATAAATTATACTCTATTCTATTCCGATATTACATCGGGCGCACTATAAGTTTCCGGAACTGGCCACTTACATAAACAATATTTAAAAAGTAATTCCAACATTTAAAAATGGAACTCTTTGGCTGTAGAATAGTTTGTTTCATGTGACTGTCACTTGTTTTTACATTGTGGCGTCATTTTACAAATTGATTGTCTGTATCACCATGGATTTAACTCGTGAAAATTTTCGTAGTCTGATTTTCTAGAACTTTAGTGTAATTTAACAGCTCAGCGGAGCTTCGCTCGACGACTATTACGACGAGACGACTATTTATAGCTGGTTTGCAGAATTCAAACGCGTTCGTGTGAATCTCAGTGACGAATTACACGATGATCGCGCGTCCACTGCTGTGAACAACAAAAACAGTCATGCTGTGCGCCGTATGACCAAAACAGACAGGCATGTGACATATCATGAGATTCGGGCATCTTTAGGTCTAGGCATGAGTCAAATACAATCAATACTACACAAACATTTGGGTGTGAAAGAACTGTGCTCTCGGTGGATCCTACACAATTTGACTGAGGCTCAAAAAACGGACGCGTCACTTTGTGCAATGCCATACTTACCAGATTCAACGAAGGGGCGTCAAATTTGGTCTGGGACATCGTAATAGGTGACAAAACGTGGATTTATAGTTACGATCCCAAAACAAAGCAGCAATCGAGAGTATGGGTCTTTCAAGATGAGCCGAAACCAACCAAAGTGGCGCGCGTGCAAAGTGCCTCTAAGCGGACGATTGCTTCTTTTTTAAATAAAACTGGACACGTGGCTACTGTTGCTTTGGAGAATTATTCATTATTCACGGTACAACGTACCGTGAATAATGATTGGTACACGTCCATTTGTTTGCCGGAAGTTATTGACAAACTCCGTAAAACTAACTGTAAACGCCGTATTATCTTGCATCAGGATAATGCCAGTTCTCACATGGCCATACAGACAAATGAATTTTTGAAGGTGAACGACGTTGACCTTATGAGCCATCTCGCATGCAGTCCCGACCTGGGACCTTGTGACTTATTTATTTCCAAAAATTAAGAACCAGTTACGTGGTCAACGATTTTCATCACATTTTGAACAGGCTGTCGCAGAGTATGAAAAATATGTTTCAAAGATTGTCACGGAGGAGTGGCATAAATGTTTTTCAAAATTGGTTCATTCGTATGAAAAAGTGCATTAACGCTAACGGAGAATATTTTGAGAAACAATAAATTAATTTCTGACCATTTATAGTATTTTTTTCTTATTCATTCCGGAAACTTATAGTGCGCCACACGTAGTAGATAATTTTGTATGCTTAAATAGGGTTTACGAAATTTCACATTATGTACTCCATTTGTTTCATGTTGTTCGTATTATTTTGATGACTTTCATGTGATATAAGCACTTTTGACGTATTTTTTATTTATTTATGATACTAAGTGACGGGACGAACAAGTCGTGCGCCCGATGGCAAGCGACACGCCTGTCCATAACAGTTGCAGTGCCACTTAGAGCTTTAAATCTCAAAGATCTGAGAAGCACTGCCACTGCGCCCATCATATAATTATTTAATTTATATAGTTATTTAACATTATATAATTCCAGCACCCCTACCTTTGAAAACCGGAACGCAGTAACGATCACATTACTGCTTCGCGGCAGAAATACGTATGCTCACAAGTAGCATTATAATGTTGATATACCTACAAAGAGGTTCCCAACATATGCAATGCACACTTTGTACAAGTAGTCTTCAAATATTACGATTGATCTGTGCCTGTGTGGTCCGCAAACTGCATGTAAACAGAAACCCTAATCACTTTTATTTAGCTGACGACTAATACAAACACCCAGAATTAATGAAATTTCTTAAGAAGCGCTTTCTACGCGTTTGCCGCTAGTATGACCATTAAAATAATTTCGAAAGATTTCTCTTTCAAAAATAGTTTCGCATCACGTAAACAAATATAGTAATAAATTATACAAGATTAAAGTAGTAAACACGAATATTAACAAATTATACAAGATTTCACAAAATTATGTTAAGTTCTGTACACGAAGCGGTACATTGTTTATTACGAGAACTCGAGGACTTTAATCTTAACTGAAAGTGCTATATCAACAAACTGAATAATACATTGACTGATGCCGTGTTTGCGTAGCGTAAGCTAAAATTTCTCTTCAATGTAACGATATGACCACATCGTCTATTTTGGATTTCCATTCGTTGACGTAGTACTTTTTAGTCATATGGGGTAACTCCACGTAGCATGCCAATAGATTTTTTTATGATACCAGGTAACAGGACGAATAAGTCATGTTCCTCACGGTAAGCGACACGGCTGTTCATAACAGTTGCAGTGCCACTCAGAGCTTAAATAACAAAGAACTAAGGGGCACTACCTCTGCGCCCGTCACCTTGAGGCTTGTAATTTCACCAGCACACTTACCCTTCAAAACCGGTTCAGTAGTGCTCCCGTTAATGCTTGACGGCAAAAATAGGTAAGGTGCCATTGCTTCCCTTGATGAACTCTTTCACAAGGAGCGCTACTGTTACTAGGATAGAGTTGGAGTGATATTAATGCTAAAATTTGGTATGCACATCGATTGAGGTTAAACCCAGATACCCCTGCAGAGATAGTTCATAATGACGCACTGCTCACTCTTATCTAAATTCGCAAATTGAGCGGTTGCATACATTTCGGTGAAGTAGATATGAACAATTAGTATGGGAAAGATATAGATAGCAGATCGAGGATTAGGTTTTTGCAATTACTACATATTGGAAATGAAACTCTTTATTTCAGATCCAAATCGGGTATATTTGTTTTTTTAAACAAACCAACTTTTCTTTACGCGCACATATTCATAGCCCCGCACTAGGGAATCCCTGTATCGCGGGTGCCATGGACACATATAGACAACCACAAATCACACCCATACTCACGAGAAAAATAAATGTAGACCATTCTATTCTTCTTCTTCTATGTATATTCTAAACTATATTTACAAAAGTTATTAATTCAAACAACTAATTTTTAATTTACCTAATGTTTTTTTGCAATACACGCTACGGTATACCGGAGAGACTTACCTGTGCAGGCAGACCGGAACGTGTGTTAGAATAGACCTGTGCAGTTTTGTGAAGTATCGAAAATCAATTCTTTTGAGTGATACCGTATGGTGCAGCTGTGCATGTGTGTGTGTACTACAGTCGCCTGCGCAGGTCGCTCTACTTGATATTCTATAGTCATCGTTCGCATCGTACTGCAGTGCATAATAAAAAATGACAACATCCGATTCAACTAACCACCGGTTTTGTATTTTTATTTTTTATGATTAACGCAAATCCAGCGCATCGTCGTCGTCTTCAACCGATGCCATATCGAAATTAACTGAAGACCTCTCCGGCTACCATACCGGATAGTCCTACATAAGCTACGACAAGCGGCCTACCCGCACAGGTATGCTTACACAGGTAGACCTCTCCGGTATACCGTAGCGTGTATGGCCAACAGTCTTAACCATGTTACTAGTAAAGAGCGCCAAACGTTGGTTTCTTTGAAAAAACAAATACCTACACGCGATTTAGTTTAAAAAAATGTTTCACATCTAAAATATAGACAGCTTTTTAATTTTAGGGGTGTTTATAGTACAAGATCTTGGGTTTCATATAGAGTACTTGCCTTTAAAATATTATTTTTTATTAGACCTTATATTATGTTATAGTTGTAGTACATTGAGTACATGAATATTATTTACAGAAATACAATAAAATGAACGCAGGAGTAAAGAAGAAAAATGGAGGATCGATATTGGAATCTTCGCTACGTTCCGTGAGCACGATGCTTAACAGAAAAATCAATGCTGTCAAGGTAAGCTGGCAAAGCACAGTATGTACAAACGTATTGCCTATTAAGTGAATCAATAATGCGTAACATTATTGGTATGAGCAACAAAACACTGCAAAAAATGCTATACTTTACATAAAGGTCGGCACACAAAACTGCGATGCGACATAGTCGCAGAAATCTACAAGCTCGCAAGAATTTGCGAATTGTTCCGCATCGCGCATTCCTGCGATGTCAATCTTCTTCGTGTGTTTTTCCCATATTTTCTTATGAATAACTGCAGTGCAATACTCTTTTTTTTACGATCCATGTCGCTACCTAGTTTAAAAAATACGTTCAGTACGATTGAGGATCGTCGAAGGAATGGTTACCCGAACCGTGGCAGTGAGATGCCTTGCCGCAAGAAATCGCATCGCAGCTATTCGCATCGCGCCGATTCGCAGTTTTGTGTTTCGACCCTTAGGCATTTAAAAAAATATATAAATAAATATTTTCTAATTACATTTTTTTAAAGTTTTCTTTGTGTACACAAGACTATTCAAGTCAAAATTAACGCTTTGTATTTATTTCGTAAGAATTATTTTTGTAATTAGAAGTTTCCCTATTCCACTGTATTTTTTTTGGATGCTACGCGATTACTCCGACATATTTTATGAACCGATTTCGATGATTCTTTTTTTGATGGAAAGGGGGTATCTACCTCAGTAATGGTCCCTTTCAAATTTGAAGAAAATATTCCACCTCTAAGGGTGGCAAATTAGGCGGTGAATACGGTTTATTGGATTTCACCCGCTTTTCGTTAACCGATTTCAATAAAACTTTAAAAATAGGTGTGGTTCCACAAACATTTGCGGTCGATTTTTATTTATAAAACAGTTATAATTATTCATAGGAGACGTTTTCTACTATAGAACTATATATTTATAGGCTGTAACAATACCGTTCGACTATATTTCGACTGCAGGTAGTATTTACGATAACAAATGACTAACGAAAAATATTTAGTTTACCATGTGCGCATTGCAATTTTTTCATGATTTAATTAAATTATAAAACATACCGCAAAAACACTGAAACACTACATCACAACATCTTCAGATAACATTATGCTCATGATATTTTCTATTTTAGTGTATTCATGCAACTGCTGAGAAATTAGCGAAAGAATTCAATTACACAAATTTTGATGATGCTAAATTTCGAGACCACCTCGAATTCGAATACTGCGATGCAAAATATTCCGAATTTAGTTCTCTGGAAGAAGAACCCGGTGAAGAGCCTCTGCAAATCCCTGATGATATACCAGAGAAAGAAAAAAACAAGAAACATTACTCAAATGTAACTTTAGAAAGAGATTCTCATTTTTACGACATCAGGGTGAACACTAATATAAGTTGTGTACATGTGCCTACAAATATATATTTTAAAGGTAATGTTATGTTATAATTCTTGTCAGATTTAATATAAAATAAGTGCGCATTTCGCCTACAACTCACCTGATGGAAAGTGACGATGAGATCGACGATGGACCCAAACAATGCCTGTTTACTCTCGACTTGTAAAGGCCAGGCAAAGAATTCCACTCCACACTCGTTTGCCATTTGAATGTGGAAGCGTAACGCTTCGTGCGATTTTTGGAATATCTACAATATAAGGGTGGAACCCCAGCCTACATCTAGCCCCCGGTAATGGAAAGGTGAAGGCGGAATTAAATAGCGCAATTTCATCGCGCACTCTCCGTGATTTTAATATGTAGGACGATATTTTTCATTACTGGTTGTATTTTTTGCAGAAGAAAAAGCCTTGCCAGCAATATTGTGGTCAGAAAAACTTAATGAAGTATTTACAAGAAACTATAAGTCGGATCCCTCTTTATCATGGCAATATTTTGGAAGCTCACATGGAATCATGAGGTTCTACCCAGGCATGCAATGGAATGTGCAGAAAGGTTACGTAGATACCTACGATTGTAGGGTTAAATCTTGGTACATAGAGGCGGCTACGTGTTCTAAGGATGCTGTAATTTTATTTGATCTCTCAGGATCTATGACTGGATTCAAAAATTACGTCGCAAGAAGAACGCTGGCATCAATTTTATCTACGCTGTCTAATAACGATTACGTAAACGTGTTATATTTTAAAAAAGAAACCGGTTTAGTGGTTAATTGTTTCAAAGGACTCGTACAAGCAACTCCAGAAAATATAAAAACTCTTAGTGATGCTCTAGAACCTAAAGAGATAAATAAAGTCAAAGTTCATAAGAAAGGTTTAGAGTTAGATGGCAACGCTAATTTAGTAGAAGCGTATACACAAGCGTTTGAACTACTCAGAGAGGTAAGTTGTATTACGATGTTTATTATCGTCTATGTTTATTTAATTTTATTTTTAAACATTGTTGAATTTAGGTTTCGAATGAAGCATTTTTTAAAATAACATTACAGAAGGTGTTAACAGACTAGTTGACCAATGTGTTGAAGGCATTTTTGCATTTGAACAAGTCTACACTTACAAAAAATCAAAACGTCGTAGTAACTGTAAATTCACCATGTAACAAGTTTTCAAACAGGTCCTGTTGTTGGTTTGACAGTATTGGTATGTAATTGAGCAGTATGTAGAAAAGAGTAACTATACCCCTGAAACTTCGCGTTTGTGGCTGTTACAGTGGTATTTACATAGCTGCCTATTTACATAGATAAAATAGTCGTATTTACATTATCTTCGAAATCTACACATTTCTAAGTCTTTGTCATCAATTTTCTTTGAAATTATATTATTGATTTGAAATATAATGTTACCTTTTGGTCTTTAGATAATGAAAAACCCGAAAATTATGTACCTTTTCTGAATTATATGCAAATTTCAACTTTTAGTTGTCCTGACTACACAACGAAAGTTCTTGCTGGGAAATAAAGCTTTTCATATTTTTATTATAGAACCAATTAGAAACTGGCGCAACTTGCGTGAGATCTCTAGGGAGAATAACAAAGTTTCGCGCTTTATATCGTACTTGGGCAAGTCGCGCCCTGTCATGCCAGATCTACTGATATTGATAACGCAGAAACAAAAATCGTGTTACACGGTGTTATTAATTTTGTACAGAGGCGGCAAAAGACGAATTGCACGGTGAACAGTGAGCAGGGATGCAATCAGCAAGTGATGTTGATAACTGACTATGTTCCGGGTAATCTAACTGAAGTTTTCGAGGAGCACAACCGTGAGACTATCGATAACAAGACCTATATTCCTGTAAGAGTATTTACTTATCTCATCGGCAAAGAAGTTACTAACATCAGGGAGATTCAATGGATGGCATGTTTAAACAGAGGTAGGTTTACTTTTTGTCAACGATGATTTTCCATGTTTCTCATTACGGGTTTAGACAGGGACGTCAATCAGGGCAGAATTAATAATAATTTGCAACCCACTTTGGAAGTGTTATTTTGTGATGTTTGAGTCGATTAAAATCACTTATTTCTTTATACCGATGTTTCTGTGTAACCAGCAAAAACAAATGACGCGTAACTTTTTGTTTAGTGCGCAAATTGGATAATGTCTATCACCAAATTAATTAATGTAATTAAATTACACGTCGACCTTAAACTCGGCACTCGTATCACATATACGTTATACACTTTTTTGTTAATAAGCTGTAAACAATTTATTACAAAGGCTCAAAATGTTAATGGATTTTCTCCTTCATTACGAGCAAGCTTCAACAGAAAATGAAGGCTTGGAGAGTTTATTTAAATTACCACTTTCGTATAACTTTGTTTCTTAATTAAAGCTTTCACTCTCGTGCTGGTATTACTATGTTCAATATTCTGCACGGATCTGCGAAATTCTTCCTAATTGTTTATTTCAAACTCTATGTAAGAATATGAGTAAATTAGGTAAGACGCTAATTTTATTTCTAATTCACATTGTCTTAAATTATTCCAAGAAATACAATATCTTATTAATTTTATTTTACAGTAAACCAGACGTTTAAATAATGGTTTCACGGTGTAGTAAACGTCCTCGTTACAAGTGATGTAACACAAACCTTAAAAATAACTAATAAATACGTAACGCACACACTCAGCATCCCCGCATTAGGGAAACCCAGTGTCGCGATTGCCGTGTACACACACATAGACAACCACAAATTACACCCAAACTCACGAGAAATAAATATAGGCTAAATATTGCTCCCGGCACGGGAATCAAACCTCTGTGTGACAGACCAGCATCTTAACTGTTCGGCCACAGAGGCCAGTTAAAAAAGGTAAAGGTGCGTACTATAAAAACAATATGTACTTTACCTAAAAATAGTCAAAATTCTTTTGCCAATGCCGAGATAACTTAGCAATGCTCTCGGGTACCACCACGTCCACAACCTCGTCGTGGTGCCTACAATTGCGTAGCCAGATAACAAGAAGTGCGGTTCGGGAAATTTGGAAGCTGGACTCCTGAGCGTAAGAGATAATTAAAAAAAAAAATCATACAGAAGTGCTACAGTGTATTTGATTATCTAATGTTAAGAAGAATTCTCAGGAAAAATCAATTGTATATAAAACTAAAAAAAAAATCTGTCTGTTATTGACAGTCGTCTTCACAAAGGCAGAAATTATTTAACGGGAAATGTTTACGTTTCTATAATAAGACCCTTATCCCTTATTTCTTTTCAGGTTTGCCATTTGTGAAGTTTATAACTAATGTTATATCTAAACTTTATCCAGTCTTCTTGTTAACTGTAGTTACTTGTTTGGACGACAGGAATATAATTGTGAAAGTAATTTCTTTAGCTTGTTTAAGTTGTTTATATGTACCTGTGAGATTTTGAAATGATTGTTTGGAAACTAATCTCCATTTACAATGTGCTATTCCTAGAATTCTCAAGAGAATGAGTATGGTCAAATTTAAGCGTATTTTAAGTGTAATTTGATCACCTTTGACATAACGATACTTCTTTAGAATATTAGAAAAAAATTGCTAAGTTCGAACGAACGCTCGCCCACGTGACCTTAATAGTGGCCGACTTTAGGTAAAGAGGGGACGAAAAAGGAGGCACCATATTATTAAATTTAAACTGACTTCATGACCGGACGCTTACCTTGCCGGACTGCCAGACACGTAAAGTTCTTATTTAAAGTGCTGAGAAATTTTTGTATGGTACCAAGTGACGGAACAAACAAGTTGTGCGTCTGGTGGTAACTGACACGCCATCACCAGCCACCTAACCCTTCAAAAACTGAAACGCAGTAATGCTACTGACACATACATGACATTACTGATTGGCAGCAGAAATAGGTACGGTGGCAGTACATTCCTGGGCGAACTTTAGTAGCAGTAGAGCTCCTTGCCATCTTACCTATTTCTTCCGCCATTAAGTAATGTCAGCATTACTGTGTTCCAATTTTGAAGGGTAAGGGTGCTGGTGAAATTACAGGCACATGGGACTTGTCAACTTATGTCACAGCGTGACGGATGCAGTGGTAGTACCTCTCAGATCTTTGCAATTTAAAGCTCTGAGTGGCACTGTAACTGTTACGGACAGGCGTGTAGCTTACCATCAGGCGCACGACTTGTTCGCCCCGTCACTTAATGTTACAATAAAAAATTCGCAAAGAGCTCTACTGCTACTAAAACATAATTAGCCATGATTAATTCTACTGACACTCGATACATTTGTTTTGAATAATACAGGTTTCTTCGTGCACATACACTCGGTGGAGGAAGTGCAGCAGCAGGTGCTCAAGTACATTAACGTCATCGCCCGTCCCATGATCCTCGACGGGTCCGAGCCGCCACCCACGTGGACCCACGCCAATATCGACGATACCGTAAGTTTTTTACTCACTCATTTCAATATTCCGAGTAAATATTAGACGATATTACTAATCGTCGTTTCGTAATTGGCTACGAAAAACTGTTAAGTACGTGGATGAAAGGATTCCATATTTACACATTGCTATAATCGCAAACTAAGTAACTAAAGCATTTGTGTTACGGAATTGAAAACAACGACGGTACCCAAACACCCATACTCGAGACAATTTAGAAAAATGTTAGTTTTCTGCCAATGCAGATGGATCAATATCCAGCTGGGGATCGAACCCGGGATCTCAGCGACGGCGACACCATGAAAACCGATGTATTAACCACTCGACCACGGAGGTCGTCAATCAGAAAGGATATCTAATAATTAAGCGCTTGGAGGCCCTAGTTAATAGATGTTTTTGGATCCAAAGATCACTATAGTAATGTTTTTTCGGAACGTTGTGGCCTTTCTATAATATAGACATTAAAGATAATCGACAGGTGCATTGGGAGCAAATGCTGCTGTGAATTTATTGAATAAAAGGGCACTTTCGCTGAATTAGTCACATTCTAAAAAGAGATTCTGATGATTGCATAATCATAACTTATTCATAACTTATGATCGATGGAATTTTATTACTGGGCTTTTTATTTACTGGTTTCATGGAGTTTTGTATATTTTTTAACACAACAAGGCATAATTTAATGAACCTGTGTAATGAATATGCGCAATATTTAGTATAAAACATTTAATGGACAAGAAAAATGTGAATTGTAAAAAAAAATTGAATAATGCTTTAAGATAACTTCAGAATCACCATCTTTTGTCGTCTGTAGATACTTGTGGGAACATATTCTACAAATAAATTAGACATAATTCCAGAACATAGTTAGGCACCACTGATAACCACAAAGAATACTAAAGTCGCATAAATATTGTCACTTTTACATTACAGAGAACCAAGAGATGGAATGTCAGTAAAGATGTTAATAAGGTAAGTAACTTAGTGTATCTTGTATTTTATCCTGTTATAAAGAAGAATGACTATCAATATCCATTTAAGGCTGGTTTGCACCAGTCGTCAGGAAGCTTATCATCAGTGAGCAATGAGAGAAAGGATAGAAAAAACCTCCTGAGACACTTAGTTAAGTATTTTTACAATTTGTGAATATCACCTGTGAATAATATGACTGAAATACAAATGTGTCCGGACCAATTTTTGGGAGGTCACAAACACGTACCCCTGGAGCAAAAAGTGCACGCCTTCGAAATCCTAATTCTTCTATAGAGAGGTTTAAAGGTTCTTTTCTTCGACATGAAATTAGTCGAGAACTTTTTATGCATAAATAGAGAGAGTTATAATATATCGCATATACATAATTTGTTTCCGCAACTCTTATTATTTTTTGACTTTCATTACATAAAAGCACTCAAGGGTACGTAGATATGAAACAAAATGAAATACTATACATACGGGTGCTGCCGTTAACAGTGAATCAAATTTGGAAAAAAATGTCTGCCTATATATGATCGTATAGTTTGAAATTTTACTTAATAAATCATTTGGACCAGCGCGGCAGTTAAGCTGTATGATCGTACACGCCGAATACGAACGGGTTGGATGGTTCGTTTTCAGAAGAGAGGTATGGCCAAGAAATGTCTGGAGAGGGATGGATCGGTAGGTAAAGTGAGTGCTGAACAACTGAACTATGCTACCTTAGAGGTGGGTTTCGTGCTCGTACGTTGTACAGTGGAACGCGTGGCACTTCCGCTGATGCGATGGCGGTCAGAGGAGACTATCAATTACTACGATCGCTTTATCACCTTTTAATACCGGCTATACACGCTACGATATACTGCAGAAGTCTACCTATGCAGGTGTACCTGAGCTGGCAGACCGGAACGTGTGTTGGAACAGATCTGTACAGTTATGCGTACCTGCTCAGGCGACTGGTGCTAAATCGAAAACAATTCTTTTGAGTGGTACCGTACGGTGAACCTGTGCATGTGTACAATAAGGTCGCCTGCGCAGGTCGCGCCATTTGATTTCTAGTTACGGTGTAGGGTAGTCGTCGTTCACATCGTACTACAGTGCGTAATAAAAAATTGCAACATCCGATTCAACTAATAAGAAAATACATGAGGAATCATCGTATGTCGTCGTCTTCAACCGATGCCTTATCGAAATTAACTGAAGACCTCTCCGGCATACCAGATAATCCCACATACGCTACGACAAGCGACCTATCTACGCTGGTACTCCTGCACAGGTAGACCTCTCCGGCATATCGTAACATGTATAACAGTACAGTACACTACACACATAAAGGGTACAAAACACAAGCGGTATTTCACACAATGCGAAAACAGTACGAACAGTAGTCTCGTTGCAGCGGAGTAAAAAGGATAGCGAAATAAATGTTAAAAGGAAATGAGGGTAGGTGAACTTAAATTTAAGCGCCGTTTACCTTAGTATCAGTGCGAAAACAATTTCTTTTGTTTGAAATTGGAACTTAGCAAATATTATTATTAACATAAGCTTATGGATATGTTCAATATTTTGAATTTCAATTCAGCATGACGAGGATAAGCTGGTTGCGTCCGTGGCAATACCAGCATTTGACTATAAGTACAACGAAGAACATGGAGATGCCGTGCTCCTAGGCGTAGCTGGAACTGATGTGCCATTGGAGAGCATTGCTAAGCTTGCCCAACCTCATCAGGTAAGCAACAGAATACCTGGAAGTATATCGAGCGATTGTTACACATAGGAAATGAAACTATATTTTCGGCTCCAGATCGCGTATATTTTTTCAAACCAACCAAAATTTGGAACCCTTTACAGGTCCATGGTTATGCCTGACTGTCAGATACCGAGACATAGTTTCATTACCTTCGAGGTAATGAAACTATGTCTTGGTATGTTTATAAAAAGTGACCAAAGTATTCTGAAAATTTTTCCAAGCACTATTTCTGGTTTACACTGGGTACCGGTAAATGTCATTAATTAAGTTTTTCTTTTGTTTCAGCTAGGAGTAAATGGTTATTCATTTATCGTGAGCAATAATGGGTATTTGTTACTGCACCCGTACTTAATAGCTACAGTAAGTTCATTGAATTTTGTTAGCAGTAGAATCATACTCTTCGGATTCCTAAGCTTGCTGAATATAATATGTGCGTTAATTTCCTTTTAATTTGTTGTATTTGGAATCGATTTTCTATAGAAGACTTACAAGATCGCTCATGAAAACTTTTTATTATTTAATGGCAGATAAACGACCAACTTCAAGAGAATTACAATAGTGTAGATTTCGTAGAAGTAGAACAAGTAGATGACAACTTGAACAGCCGCCAGCTTGGTGACGATATTATAAACCTCAGACAATCGTTGGTGGATGGACGAGATGGCAGTAGGACAAAAATTCCTGTACTGTTTCATTACGATAACATGAGGTATATTAGTTATTGCTTAATCAATACGAAATTATTTTCCATTCCTTTTTTATGATATCAAGTGACGGGTCGAACTGATCGTGCGCCTGGCGATAAGTGACACGTCTGTCCTTAGCAATTGTAATTCCACTCGGAGCTTTAAATCGCATGAAAGCCACTGCCACGGCACCCGTCACTCTGAGATATAAGTTGATAAGTACCATGAGCCTGTAATTTCACCAACACGCATGGCCCTTCCAAACCGGAACGCAGTAATGCTCACATGACTGCTTGGCGGCAGAAATCCAGGCAAATTTCCCTGGACGAACTCTTTCATAAGGCACTCTATTGCTATGGTATCCTTCAAGTTAACATTTTTCTTGTATTAAAACATTTTTATTTTCAGGAGAATATCACGAGTTGCACACAACTACTTTTTCAAAGAATTACAAGGTACCCCATTCTCCATGGGAATTTCTCTGCCAGATGAATATGGTGACACCGAACTTCAGCTGAAAACGTTAGAAGCTGTGGTTGGAAAAGACACAGGCATCAACGTCACGGACTACTTTCGGTTTAACTATAGAGTCCATCCAGATTGGTAAGTCACGTCAAGTCTTATATTTTATCGTAACTGATAAACGGGACACACCTCTAAATTTCCGGCATTTACCGGAACACTCATAAAATCACCAAAATAATGAAGTGTTTTTTGAAAGTGTGCCTGGTTATTTTACTTTTTTATTTTAGATCTCATTTGAAAATAAAAGAAAGTCGACTGTCATTTGCTTTAACTTTAACAGACTTAAAAAAAACAGGTGGTTCTTAATTCCACTGTATGTTTTTCTGTATGTATTTTACGCGATAACTCCGGTTTTTTGGTAAAAGAGCACCTCATTAGTGGTCCCATTTAAATTTGAAGAAAATATTCCACCTCTAAGGGTGGCAAACTAGGGGATAAATCCGGCTTCGCAACCTTTCCTGTAACAGATTTCAATAAAACTTGGCAAATATAAGTAATTCCACGCATTTGTAAATTTCAAAAAGTTTTTTGCTTATTAAACTTTGATGTAATTAATGTTAAACTATTCAATTGTTTAATTTTCAGTAGTTTTTGGTTTGTCTCAAAATTTAAAAAAATGCATTATGTTTTATTTTGATGTTTTCATTAGAGGTTGAGTCTGTACTAAAGTCGTCGCCATTAAAGATATTCATTGAGTTGCTAATTTATGTCTAATTCTTATTTATTTAAAAATAAACGTTTCTATTACGTACTCTCACTTTTATGGTCCACTAAACGTGTGTAACAATAATTTTTCCAGGGTTTACTGTAAGTACCACTACTTGGAAGGTCACGAAACAGAAAATCCTGAAATGGAGATTTGGACTTTCTTAGTCGGCCTTTCTAAAAATGAAGTCGATGTTAAAAAGAAACAATACACTGAGCAACAGAACGAGCAGACAAGCAAGTTCAATATTGAAAGTGAGTAATTTAAATGGTTTAGAGGTGAAAAATTGGCATTTATAAAATTAATTTTTGTATTTTTTTTGCAACTAGCGCACTGTGGAAACGCTACACAGCTGGATAAAGATGATTATTACTGTAATGAAGATTTAGTGCATCAATTAGTATTTGATGCTAAATTATCGACACCTTACTTCAAGACTTGGAATGCAAGCGATAAAGAGAAAAAAATGGCAGGCGACTACAATGTTAGTGTGAGATTCATAGCAACAGCCGGTGGGCTCACGAGGTGGGACTATATCGAAGATACACACAAGAATGAACTGGTTAATGATACTGGGTGGAGGAATAAGGAATATGAAGGGAAGTAAGTACTTACGTATGTCTATAATTTCAAAATCACATAAAAATATAGAGAGAAAAGGTAAATTAGTTTGAAAACATGCCATGTTTTGCAGTGTATTTGGTGACGACTATTTCAACGCCATTGAAGAAACTTGGTACAAAGCAGCTGTGCTACAGCGAATGGCAACTCAGGGCAAAGAATCGCTGGTTATAGCGACCCCGTTACCAATACTTGACAAGATAATAAAACACAAACCGAAGGTACAAAACGACGACGGTGATATCACAGTTACTGCAAGTTATGCTATTTTCTACAAAGATCTCAATATTTCTACTCCAGCATCGGTTGTGGGCTTCCAATTTTCTTATAAAAATTTTGTCAAGCAATTTAAGATATTGGTTTGCCATGATGAGGTATGTAATTTATAAAAAGATTGTCGTCAGTTTACACATAGACTTACCAGGCTTATCAATGACTTTTACTGTGATAATTTACAGGTGGATCCTGGTGAATACGGTTATTATTTAATAGATAGCTCAGGTTACGTGGTGCTCTATACGGATTGCAGTAATGATGAATCGAGTGACGAAGTTGATCGAGTGGGTCAGTTCTTCGGCGTCATTGAGAACAACGGCTATGTAATGCAATGCTTCCTAGATGCAACTGTTTTCCAAAATGTGAATGTGTACAACTATCAAGCATTGTGTCCAATTAGCATGTTAGAAACAAAAAGTGCTTGGTCACTACAAACGGTAATTATCACTCATCATCAGTACTCAGTAGTTTTTGTGTAATCGTGCTCCTTATTAAAAAAAATCTTTTGCTTTGTATGTACTTCATATTGTTTACTAAAGGTGGTAATTCGTAAATGAAGTTTGATCATATTTCAGTATAACTATAATTGTTTAATAAGACCGTGAATTTTCTTGTATAAATAAATAAAAAAACATATAGGAAATGAAACTATTTTCCGGATTTAAATCGCGTATATTTGTTTTTTCAAACAAACCGACGTTTCGGGCCCTTTACAGGTCCCATGGTCACGGTTGACTGAGGTGGTACAGTCTTCAACCAGTTATGTCTATATTAGACATGCAAACCACCCTATTTTTTCACTATAGTTACAATAGTTATTAATTAAATACCTTATTTTTAATTTTACAAAGAAAACATTCCAATTTACGCTACATTAAAAGAAGATGGTTTCTCCGTACCACCAGTTTGGGATCCAGTATTTCCTCTAATGAAAAATCCCAAACAGACATAAGACTGCAGTACTAAATAATATGTTTTAGTTTATTCTAATTTCTATTAATAATTAATAATAAATTAAACTTAATAAAAATTCATTCAATGAAATAATTTGTAAAACTTAATGTAGCGTAAATTGGAATGTTTTCTTTGTAAAATTAAAAATAAGGTATTTAATTAATAACTATTGTAACTATAGTGAAAAAATAGGGTGGTTTGCATTAATATTAGACATAACTGGTGGAAGACTGTACCACCTCAGTCAACCGTGACCATGGGACCTGTAAAGAGCCCGAAACGTCGGTTTGTTTGAAAAAACAAATATACGCGATTTAAATTCGGAAAAATAGTTTCATTTCCTATGTGTAACAATCGCGAAAACCTAAGAACTCGACAAAAAAACATACTTGTATAGTAAATTCTTAATGTGCTTAGTTATAATTTACTGTAGGTAAAGTATTACACTTTATTGTATAGTCAATATTTTAACTTCTTCCGTGGCCGAACGGTTACCATCCTGGTCTGGCACGCAGAGGTCACGGGTTCGATTCCCGAGCCGGGAGAAAAATTTGCATGGCCTCCTTTTTTCTATCTTGAGCAGAGAACAAAAAAGTAACCATGAGTTTGGGTGCCATTTGTGGTTGTATATGTGCGTGTCCATGGCAGCCGCGACACAGGGTTTCGTTATTTATTTTGTTACTAGGGTAGTCGTTATTTACTTTATTATTAATATGTATTTAAGAAATACCTAAAATATTTTTTTCTCTTACAAATTATAATAGTTTTTTCTCTTAATCTAACAATTTCGAGCTCTTTACATTCAACTCACTCAAGTCTGCTAAATTTTTTGAAACCATTAATCATTGTAATTCCAGTGTGACTCCACTAAGATTATATGGCAATTATGAGAATATTTGTTATTCTGCTAAAATCTAGTTGCAATGACAGTTGAGTCTCAATAGAGCGTCTGTGAAATGGCAGTGATGGCATTAATTCACTCAATCACTAACGGCCGATGTGGCTAATTACCAAAACTGATGAAAATTACCATGCATATCTTAATATTTATCTCGTTTAAGCAGCAATTTAGTCTTCAAGTGCATTTTTTAATGTCAAATAATTAGTAGACTACGTCATCGCCATTGAGTCGCCATTGAACAGTACAGAACAGAATACCAAAAAATTGCAATGAGAGTAATACCAAACGTACAAAATCCTACCATTTACTGACTACTAAGACGATTTTGATTTAGCAGATTTGGGGCCCTGGTCTAGGCCATGTTACGGCTGCCCCAACCGAAAAATAGTTCCAGACAATAAGCATATAAAAAGATTCGTGAGGCCCGCTGGTTCGTTCCGTGGCTTAGTTGGTAGCGTCTGACACGGTATGCTAGAAGATGTCGGTTCGAATCCGGCCGGATCGATGGAATTTTTTCTGAGTGTTCGATCTTTGTATTAATAATATAATTGTGAGTCAATGATTAATAATTATAAAAAATAGTTACAGAGTTGTAATGTGTAACAAGTGCGAAAACTAAATTATTTTTATATTTTTCTACTTTGTTTCACTAAAAAAAGTATTTTTACAGCCGTTCCACATGGTGGGGAATTTCCTACGTTGGTTGTTTACGGAAATAGTATTCCTTGTATTCAACTGGAATGATTATGCGTATACTTATGCGCCCACTGACTATGATGGTAAGTTTCCAAGTTTATTTATTTGGGCATCAGCAGATTTTTTCTGATTAGTATCTTTATCTCTGTAATCTGTACTACCTTTACAGACATCACGACGGTGCCACCGGCATTCTTTGATGAGACCGAAAATGGATCAGCACCAGGCGACATTAATACAGAACCGTCAGAAAATGAAGACCCAGAAGGAGAATTTTCTTGCGATCATTCAATTACATTGTACATACTGGAGCAACTCTATTTCCTGACCAATACCGGTGTGCCACGAACCATTGATCGTGAGCACGAGAACTGTTCAGTCCGTTGTACGCCAAAGTTTTGGGCGTCGTATGTGGCCCAGACAAATTTGCTGTTGGTGATGGTTGAGAAAGATGGTGGAAATTATGAAGGATGTGAAATAGCTCCATCAACCCAACCAATTCCTACTGAGAGCTCCACGAATAGTTCAGAGCCTTGCCATAAGCTTGATTTGGGCGCGCTAGAACGGCGAAGACTAGAGGGCTGTTTCACTTATAATGAAAAGGTAATATTTGGACAAGCTTGGACCCTTTTTAAAAGAAAATTTCATATGAACAAAATTAGATTTAATTTTGGACACTATTACTTAAGTAATAGAACTAAACCTCAATTTGAATATACAACCTAAATAGCAATGCCGTAGATACTATTATATACTAAGACAAGTAATATAACGTCATACTAACTTAGCAGCGCGGCTTGTGTGTGTTGTCGAACACGCCACTCATTATAGAAACGAAGTGTTCACTCAGTGTTTAAAAAACGTCAACAATTAGTTGACATGTTTATTATTGTTTGGACAAGAGTACCTCAAATTCAGAATTGTTCAGTATTTCGTAATCATACTCCATAATCGAGATACCAATCCACGATACCGGTATAAAAATATCAATATGTAAGTACTGCATTTGGCAAAGATAATTTCAATATAGCGCGAGAATACTGTGATGAATACCTTTTTTTTTTCAAGTTATTTTTACAACCTGTAGGTAAAACATAATGATGAAAGTAAAATAATAATGTAGCAACCCTACGCTCCAAACGACTCGTGCAGATGTTGACGCTAGAGACGAACAGGCGGGAGTTGGATTAATTGTTTTATTATACTATGGTAATATCTATAAGATCATTGGTTTGTTACTTTACCGCTAAGTATATTATATAATTTTATTTACTTATAATGACGTTTCAAAATTACTCAGATTTCAAAAGTTTAAGTTAAAGTTAAATATAAAAGGCGGAAACGAAAATTTTGCAGGTTCTGTGTAGTAATTAAAAATAAATATCTCCATATAAAAATTATGTGTAAAGTTATTCTTAGATAATTGATATAATCGATAATAAATATGATCGTAAATCGGTAAAGTACATCCTATCGTGTAACGAATTATACGATAGGATGTAATTTACATTCGCATTCATGCATTCACATTCTCTAGACAGTATCCTTAGATGTATCGTATATTTTAGAACCTAGACCGTTAGAGAAAGACCGTTATTTAATAGTAAAACTTAAACCTTTAGATGGGTAATTTTCAGGTAAGTTTTTTGTACTCGATTTTGATGACAATTTCTTTTTATTTAAATATTTATAGAATGTCAACATGAAGTATTATTTAATATTCGAGTGTGGTAACCTGAAATATTCTTTAAAATTTCACGATGATATATTCGAGTAAATAAATAATAAAAATTGTCACCAAAATTGAGTAGGACTTACCTGAAAATTACTGAGATCTAGCAAAACAGTTTTTTCCCGCTTCTCCTCCAGTGACTTTGCAACATTGTGTTATTTATGTACAAGAAAGTTATTTTAGTTCTTAATTAGTATACTCGTAACTGTATATTAGTATACTAACTGTATATTAGTATACTCGTATCTAACTATAACTGTATATTAGTATACTCGTATCTATACATTAATTTTTGTTCACAGGAAAAAGATATAAAAGAATGTGGTATCGCCAGCACGACGCAAGTCAATGTACTACTGTTCCTTAGCGCAACAATAATGACATTGATCGCAGCAATATTGTCTTGATAATTTATTTATACAAATATAAGATACTTATTTTAAATCAACTAACCATCCACTAGATTTTTACCTTTGTTACTTCCGCAATAAAAGTTGTTGCACTTTTATAACGACTAGTTTTATTATTTTAAATCCTTTATTTGCAATGCCCTATTTCTGCAGATTGTCTAAACGCTGTTATTAATATTTTCAAATTCAAATGATAGTTTCACGAAGTATGTACGGAACAAACCTCCGAGCGTTAACCTTACGAGTTTATTTTTTAATAAATGGTAATAAAAAATCGATGACTTCTTAGTAACGTAGTTTTGAATACGTACACGTACTTATGTCACTCATACAATGAAAGCAGCTAGTAGGTAAAAAGGTAACCAAGCCAGTGTCAGTCGGGGCGCGCAGGGCAATCAATGCGCATGTCCTGCCCGCCATATCCCGCGACTGCGCTTTGCTGTACATTCCATCATCCACCGCCTAACGTTATCTATTCAGAGCATCGATAAGAAAGAAACCATTGCAACCAAAAGTTTGTAAGGCGATATTACCATGATTGTCAATAGCTATAGTGTCTAATCAATTTAGTGGAATATAGTGAACTAATTAGATTATTGTCTCTGATGTACCAACGTGCTGGAACCCTCGTATTCTTACTACTTCTTGCATTGGAATCCAGATATTGTTCGTCCAGTACACAAAATGAGCCAAAAATATCGCTTACCTCGTAAGTACCTTGATAAAATATAACTAAGTATGTTCATAAAGTGATCTATAGTGCTCGTCTGCTTAAAGAATACATACGATAATTGCAAGACTAGTCTAAGACCAGATATGTCTTGAAGTGAGGTTTTCACCATATATTGGATATGTACAATTATTTTTGATAGGGTGCAAGCCTGGGCAGTCAAACTCGGCACTGAGGTGTATCATTTTGGGGAATTCATTACAAGAAAGAAAGAAGTCCAAGATGTAAGTACAGAAGTATTCAGTACTGTGAATAAATTTGTACTATGTAGCCCACATTTCAAGGTGTACAATATGTTAAAATTCGATGTTGAAAATTGTGCCATGTGTCATTTACGTAGCGTTCGAAATTGCAGTTTAACAAATTAATAGTCACTGATTACATTAACATTATTGTTAATCTTTTATTTAATATGACAGAGTTATAAGTCGGCACAAATTGAATCGAGAGATGGCGAAAAGTTAGTTCAAAGTATGGCAGACGATATTCGAGCTATGATGGAACTGAAGGTGAGCGCGGTGAAGAGAATAGTGGAAGCGGCGGAAAACATGGCTTTTGACAAACAAAATGAGCCCGTACCTGATGACTTTCAATTTTACAATAGCAAAGAAATGGATGAACCTTATGACTTTACATTTACTACTACGACGGCGGAACCTGAGTTTGTTATGGAACATTGGATCAATCGGCCACCGTCGAAAAGCGCTCATCTGGTTCAAAATGCACACTTCTCTAATATACCTGTGAACGTTAACTTTAGTAGTGTACATGTTCCCAGTAATGTGTATGCTTGGGGTGAGTAAAAATATAAAGTAATGATGCAAATATTTATGTAATTTATTTCGTGCTTAACTCAATAAGTATTTGGTGCGTTTCAGCAAATGAAACTATTAAAGGTATTCGTTGGTCTGAAGGTTTGGATGCGCACTTTAAAGATAATTACCAAAGTGACCCGACGCTTTCATGGCAATATTTCGGCAGTTCTACGGGTTTCATGAGACATTATCCAGGTAAATAAAGTATATAAAGCAATAAACTGATTCATTTTAATATGGTTCAAATGAACAATACCTAAGAGATATTTATTCTTTTTGCAGCAATGAAATGGCGAGCAGAACCAGTAGATATTTACGATTGTCGTACAAGAGCTTGGTACATGGAAGCTGCTGCTAGTCCTAAAGACGTAGTGATTCTTGTAGATCGTAGTGGATCAATGACCGGACAGAGACGAGATATAGCAAAGCATGTCGTCACTAATATTTTAGACACTCTGGGTAACAATGATTTTGTAAACGTCTTGACTTTCGCTAATACTGTGGAAGAAATCGTACCCTGTTTTGCTGAATCTCTAGTACAGGTAAATTACGATTTTTAATATACGAGTAGCTATGCGTAACATGTCACCAACACTTATTTATAGGGAACACGGAACAAAAACTAGGCAAGAACGAATTCCGTTATCTGTAGATATTCAACAATGATAACAGATAAATGTAGGTATAAAAATGTGTTAAAAGAACCGCTTCTATTCTAGGCTACACTCAGTAATTTACGAGAGTTGAAATTGGCGTTGGACAGTTTTGAAACAAACGAGATAGCAAATTTCTCTGCAGCGCTAACGAAAGCTTTTGAACTTTTGGAAATATACAGAAACAACAGTGGTGGAGCAAATTGTAATCAGGTAACTACGGTTACAATTCAAAATTTTATCGTAGTTTTCTTTTAAGTAAACAATACTAAGTATTTTATGAACTCTTTTTTATAGGCTATAATGTTGGTTACGGATGGAGTTCCCTATAACTACAAGGAGATCTTTGAAAAATTCAATTGGAAATACGATACCCCAGTGCGAGTGTTCACGTACCTGATAGGTCGCGAGGTAAAGGTAGTACCACTTCAGGTATTACTGCGTGTCGTAGTCATTGTGCGACCTGCATAATGTCTTCCCCTCGTACCTTCTGCCAGTACACCTAGAATGTGGTACTTTCTGTCTTTGTTTTTTACCTCTACGACAGTCATGCATGGCATGGTGTACCTGTTCCTGTCGTTCGTAACTGTCGAACTTTCTGATCCTTTTCCATTTTCATGTCGCTTTCGCTTTTAGTATTGTAGTGTATTTGGTTGATTTGTCTTGCGTGTACTTTGTGACGTTTTGTAATGAGTACTTAAATTTAGAGACTCTTTCTGCTTTTTTTATGGTGCTCCTACATCGAAGTTGCAATGTAATTTTATTGTATTCTAATTAGATATTTATAATTCGATAGATAATTGTATACGTTTATAAGATTCTATGTGCGGGCACATTTGCCTTAGAAATCTGGCTTATGATTATATGTAACATGTAATTTAATTACATAGCCTAATTAGAACTTACTATTATTCATCCACTACGCTGGCGATGACATGTTATAGAACAAATACATTTCACTTCATATTAATTATAGAATTAACACCCATCGGACGCAAAGCACACTCTGTTTGAACTTATTGGGAGTACGGTGTTAATGATTGAGGGTGATTTAGGTGGCGGATGTAAGAGAGGTTAAGTGGATGGCGTGCGCAAATCGGGGGTATTATGTGCATCTCAGCACGCTGGCTGAAGTGCGCGAACAGGTCCTGGAGCACGTTAACGTACTGGCAAGACCGCTCGTGCTGCAGCGAGAAAAGCATCCTGTAGTTTGGACACCAGTTTATGCTAATATTACCGTAAGTACTGTATCAAGTAACTAACTACCTACAAATATACTCCACTAACGAGACCGGTCTCATTGAGGATTTCCAACGTTGTAAGACGTGCAAGTGCAGCGGGTACACTTTAGAGAAAATTATTCAAATGTAGACCATTTCGGCAAATTCCTAAAGCACTGAATTTTTAAAATGCAAAAAGGTTAGCAAAAGTAGGTACTTAATTAAATTTGGATATCTCAGGACCCGAAAGTAGCAGATTATCTTTGGGAACAAAGGGAGAGAGCAGAGCAAAAAGAGCGCTTCATGAGTCAGCGCAGAGATAAAGCTTTATTCAACTCCGAGAAGGAACAAGATCGTCGTTGGAAAATTACTCAAGTAAGACAGAAATTGAAGCATTGGGAACAACAAGGGCGTTCGGCACCCAAAGCCCGTTTTGATGTTATAGCATCAAAACATGAAAAACATTATCTTGTGACAAAAACTCATTTCGATCTCCCTTCTAGATGGCGTAAGTTTCTTTCATTTAGAAGGTGGCATAGATTATAAATGTACGATTGAATTTCGGACATGTGTTTCGGAACTGCAGGTGGTAAGTTTGTGAAACCTTATTTTAATGTAAAAAAACGTCTGAAACGGGCCACTTCATCCTCAACATCTAGGAGGTCAGTGAAACCTACTGAAGAATGATATTGTGGATTCATTTCAATCAGGCGAATTTAATGAATGATTAAAAATAGGTTTCAATTTATTTCAATGTAACTTTTAAATAAGACTGATTCACGATTATTACTTATTTCCGTAAAAATCAATAATAATACAAACGCCCCATTAATTTACCGGTATGGTGCAACAAGGGCGGATAACACAAGGAAAAAATTCTAATTTTTTAAATTGTTTTAAAATAATAATAACCCCAGATTGTTTTAGCTAAATCATAGGACAAATAAATAATAAAGTATATAAGAGTCCTACTATAAATATTAAAAAGATATAAGACATTAAAACTTTGTTTTCAATTTTCTCAAATCTCACTTTTACGTGATACGCCCTTGTTACACCCAATGCTTCAATTCCATTTTGTTCTTTAAACAACTTAACTAATGGATATTAAACATTTCTGACCTGATTTCTATGTATGAAGATTTATTTTTGAAATTGCTTGTCATTGCAGATGAAACAAGGACAATACAGTGAGATTGGGAACTCAGTGTACCAGCTAATGACGTCAGTGTCGATGCCCGTCTATGATCTACGCCACAACGAGGTAAATTCGTAATTTATTTTCATAACCGCAATTTCTTTGTATACCTGTATTTATTTTTTGTTTCACTAAAAATAATAGTCGAGCATAATTACAAAAAAGTTAATATTTATAGATGATTTATTATACAATAAATAAAAATTGAGAAATAGTTTAAAGTTTTACTCGACTATTACTTTTTCGATCAGTGTTTACAATAATTGTTCTAAATTCTAAATTGTCCGTTATGCATGAGCATAATCGGTCCTATGGTCTTAAATTTACAGATTGGTCTATATTGAAATTCTTTAATTGGATGTAAGCCCTTCCTATAGCAATAGCCTAACACTGCTGTAAATTTTATTTGTTATGATTTCATAAGCGTAACCTTTATAATAATGCTACGTTTGTTTGGTGGTTTCCCTCAGAACATCACAGAGAATGTACTGATAAATGAAGCTTACTGGGTATCAGTTACGAAAGAGGTACTACACTTAGAAAGTTTGGATGATTTAATGTAAAGTTTTTGCAAGAAAAAGAGTTTTTATGATTTAGTATTTTGGATTTCAGTAACGGTAAAGTGTTATTTGGCCCCGTTAGCGTGCATCTGTCCTCGATAGATGTGGCGGCGCCGAGCGGCGCGGCGGCCGGCGACCACTCGCCAGCCGCGCACACAATCAATGTGTTGTTCGACCCTTTGGCTTAACGTAGTTTTGTAGTTTTCTCCTAGCTCGTAGGCGTAGACCACTAGGGTGTTATGAACGACTTTTCTATCGATTATCAGATTCATTATTTCTTTGCAAGAGTTATGATCTATGTTACATACACTATCTACAGAAGTAAACATTTTTGCCTGAATTTAGCGATGTCTTCGTAGAGACATTTTTGAAGTTTGACTTGTTTCACGAAAAGTAAATGTAAATATTTGCAGTGAGAGTATAATGTAGCCCGGCACATGACTCGAAAAGGGCTACGACTTTGAGTATTCAGTTTCGATTTATTTTCTTCAGAAGTTTTTGATCTTGGAAGTTTTAGTGTACAGCAAAGTTTACTCACTGGATATGAGAGTTCTTGATCATAGTGGTATTTGTTATAATGCATTCAACTATATATTATTATATTTTATTGCATTCTTCCGTCCACAACCAATCGCAGTCCGTAGAGGAGAACGGCCAGAGAGAGGTAGGTATTCTGACATATTCTTATTATTCTGTGGTGTATGCGCGGATTGGATGTGCGGGGAGGGATGAACATTCTTTTCTTATAGAGAGGTCAATGTTAGGGAGTAGGTTTTGGTTTAGTTTTCTGATACACGTTCAGATTGACTTCTTATACTTTACTGGGGTTTTTAAGACTCTTGATAATTAAATAATATTTTAACTTTTGAAGCCTTGATGTCATTATTTGTGATAAAATTAACTTTTTGGATTGTTAATTCATACTGTCTACAGATACAAGTACGGATCTCTATTAAAGGTCACTTGCCCAACATGACGGTAGTGGGTTTCTAGAGATAAATAGTAGACAAATTGTAACGGTAAATATTTTTTGCGTAGCTTTGCTAGAACCTGTAATTTTGATCCATTTAACTAGTTACACTAATGAGTTTTATATACTGTAACAAGACTTGCCTAACGGGGCGTAGTTGCTAATATAAATAAATAAGCTAGTTATAAGCGAGATTACAAAAATTGCGTTTCAGTAGATGATGATGGCTAATACAGTGCCACAAATACGACTAGACTAAGTAGCTAGCTAACTCAACGAAATAAGCATTTTTTATATTGTCATAGACATTTTTGAAATAGATTGAATACTTCTTTAGACTTTTTTCATATTTATCGTAGTAAATAGTGAGATATTTACTTTGGTGAGACGTAGAATATTAATAATTTTGAATTTAACATATTTACGCTGTTTGATTTTACACATACGTACTTTTAATTATCACATGTTATGGAATACAATATACGCATTTTGCTAAAGCGTTGATACAATTTCCAGATGCGTATAGCTAGATTGTTGGGAGTAGCCGGCACGGATGTTCCTTTGTCTGAAATACAGGCTTTAATGACTCCATATAAGGTAACTTACCTAATTTGTAGTCACTAAAATTTTTAATAATTTTCGTTGAGTATTATTTATCGGACTTCTTTTTTCAGATTGGAGTAAACGGGTATGCCTTCATGGTAACAAATAACGGTTACATTTTAATACATCCTGATCTGAGGCCTGTGGTAAGTGTAATGGAACGTTTGTTTCCTTATACTGCTTGTGATAAAAGAGAAATATGATTAGTGTTATTTTGTACAGTTTCAAGGAATTTTGAAACCGAGTTACAATAGCGTCGATATGGTAGAAGTTGAACTATTTGATGACGACAGAAAGCCCAGGGAATTCAGCAAAGAATTAACAGCAGTAAGTTTTTCCTGAAAATATTTTTAAGCTTTTTTATTCAAAGTCAAATGATGTTGTACAACTACTATTAGTTATGACATTTAAAAATTATATAAAACATATTGTTTTCATAGCTGCGTCAAGATATAATAGATCAGAAGACGGGTAACAAGATTATGAACGTGAAATATCACATGGAAGATATGGTAAGTAACAGAAGAGATGGCTCTATTATTTACTATTTACTAAATAAAAAGTAAGAACAATTACAATTTTTTTTTTCAGAGAAGAGTATCGCGTGCCAAACGACATTATTTTTGGACGGGTATCAGTGATTCCCCCTTCACTCTAGTGGTGGCAATTCCGGAGAACTATGGCCGCCATCGAATCACACCTCCACCTACAGACGACATTCACCGCCTTTCATTGACGTCAAAGAACGTTTCTGCGAAACAATACTTGTCTGATAAATGGAGCATTCATCCTGACTGGTAAGTTCACATTTTGAAAATGTTATAGTGTGTAAACAAATAAATAAATATTAGACACCATATGTGGTGCCTGCTCCCAATGTAAGTAACTAAGGCACTTGTGTTATGGAAATCGGAAACAAAAACACCCAGACCCGTGACTTTATACAAAAGTTAGTTTTTCTACACTGACTTGGTCGGGGACCTTGGCGATGGCGACACCATGAAAACCGGTGTGCAAGCCACTCGAACAAAGAGGTTCGGTAAAAGAAATGGAAGTATACATCCGCTAGTAGTAGCAGCAGTAGAGCTCCTTTTAGCAGCAGCTTTTAGTATTATATAATATAATAAGTATAGTATATATAATAAGTTATTTGAAAATAGTAGTGGCGCCGCAGTAGCGCCACTGCAACGCTCCTATAAGCGTACAATTTAAAGGCGCCATAAGTGTTAAGTTTATAACAATTTTGTCGTGTTTTAGGTTATACTGTCGTCACTACGAACGCACTTTTAAGTCTCCTGAAGAAGAGCTTTCGTACTTTTTGGAGCGCGTAGCGAAACCAGGATGGCGTTGGCCTGCCAAACCACGTCCTCCGGAACACCACAAAAACAAGGGACATGAGCGACATAACAACGGTAATTATTGCGAAAATCACTTAACCAAAATAGTCAAAAAAAGTTGCCATCGTTTTGGTTTTAATAAAATATCGTCTCATCAATATTTATACATATCACAACCGGTACTTACATATTGAAATATTATACCAGCATCGCAAATTAGTGTCATTTTTGTAATACGTAAAGTGACGGGATGAACAAGTCGTGCGCCTGGTGGTAAGCGACATGCCTGTCCTTAACAGTTGTAGTACCACTCAGAGCGTTAAACCACAAATATCTGAGAGGCACTGTCACTGCGCCCGATATACTGAGACATAAGTTGACAAGTCCCATGTGTCTATAATTTCACCAGCACCGAAACTGGAACGCCCGTTTCCTAAGTTCCTCGTCGCTAGTTTCCTAAACGTAAGCGTTCCCTCGATGTTTAAAATATTAAAATAATAATAATAAATTTTCAATTTTATAATGTATCGCGCGTGCGACTCGCATTGTGCAATTCAAGTGCACAGCGAGATTATGAGAATATGTGCATCCTTACACGGCGCGTTCATACGAAGTTACCTCATGCATATTATAATAATAATGGTTTCTTTGTTGATTCGGTCGTATATTACTATACGACCGCATGAACAAAGACACTGAATCCAAGAATTCATGTAGGAATATTTTACAGGTACGCCAGAGACACGGGAGCGCACTAAGGTACTAAATAACACTCCAAGGAATGAGTATTATTGTAAGTATACGACTATAAGTGCCGATTTGACAAATAGGCTGATATATAAAAGGCAAAGATTCCGAATACGAATTGTACTTACATTTACAGGCGACCACGGATTGATGCAAGCATTAGTTTACGATGCCAGGAACACCGCATGGTTCAACAAGAGCATCTCGGAATCTGCTTCAGAGGAAAAGGCGTAAGTACCAATTTACACACAATTATGTATTTACCCATTATTAAGAATTTCTCTACGCAAAATACAGAGTGACAAATTTAATTAGCTGGATCGCCATAAAATGTCACCTGGTGAAAAATAAAAGAAAAAAGAGCTATACCTACATAAATAAATAAAAAGCTTTTTTCTTTACAAGTTTTAATTACTACATATAATAACCAAAATATAAATTTCGTTAGTTAATTAAGAATATCAAGTTAGTATGTCTTGAATTTACCTAGAAACTTGATAAAAAAAGTATTTTCCCTATACGAATTCAGCTGGGTTTTGTGAGATAAAGATTTTTTTTTTTTTACCGAAATTGATAATTTTCGTCCATTTCATGTTGATTGTCCTGGATAGCCCATTGACAAAAGTGATTGGATTATTACCGAGGTAAAGTACTTCTTCGACCATGCATTTTTTTTAAATCCAAAAGTCAATGTATAAGAGTCTAACTATGAAAAAATGTATCCAAATCAAGAAAAAAAATCTAAAATTTGAATTATCCAAATAATAACTTCCTTCAAATTTCTCGTATTTTATTGCTATGTGTGTTATATTAACGATAAAGCAGCTGGAGACGCTAGGTAAGTATTAGATGTGTGATATTTCGCAGCCGATGGAACCGTAAGCATTTATATATTTATAACTATGATTACATTAAAGATTTTTCATCGACATGACATCGACAGCAACAATGAGATACCCACTTGTTTCAATTTCTTTAAAGAGGTTTACCTAACATTTTGTAGCGGAAATTAAAAAGAAAAAATAAAACATTTCCTGGAACTAATTACGAACTATTTACAAATTTTATTTGTAGATGTCTATCCAAATTTCCTTTAAAACTAGTATTATATATAAAACCCCACGAATTATGCAAATTATTACATCTGAAAATATTGTTGGCAGGGCGGAGTTCATCCAGAGGTTCGGTTACATAGTGGCGTTCCTTGCTACCCACAGTGGCCTAACTAGGTGGCAGACCCATCCTCCAAAGGAAAATAGCAGTGAAAATGACAAGTGAGAAAATATTTCGATGAGTGTCTAGAATCATGGCCTATCTCAAAAGCATCTACTTCACCAAGAAGGTGTATAAATCCTGAGCCGAGCCTGCCCCGCAAAAATGATATATCGTAGATCAAATCACAGCACATCTCCACGTTGTCCTGTGATTATTTTAACCAATAGAAAGCTCGGTATACCATTCTAAATAAAATTTTGCGTTTTCTGAACAAATCTAAGTAATAAGTAAAAAAGTCCCCTCACCGTTCCTCCTTCGGTCGGCTAGAAGGTCTGGAGCACTCCATTCCTACGTCGTTAATATTCCACCTATTCACACTAAGCGCTTTGCTTCCTCCTTTCTGACGCGCACGGCAAAGAAATGGAATGCTCTACTGCATCTGTATTTCCCGAAAAGTACAATTTGGGGCTATTCAAGGCTAGAGTGAATAGGCATTTTTTTAGGCAAACGCGCCCCATCGTCGGTCACATCGTCACTTAACATCAGGTGAGATTGTGACCAAGCGTGTGTCTATTATATATGTATTTAAAATAAGTAAAACAGGAACTATTCTGGATTGGGCCACTATTCTTGACAAGCAGCGATTTGTTCTTGAACTAACTTTGCAGAATATCATGAGATTATTACGAACGAAAATTGCTTCATTAAAAGATAACGGATTAAAAATATATTTTATATTAAAATTTACACAAGTATAAATTAAAAAAAAACTTCTATGCGAGTAACTAAAATTAGGTTTGTAAGCTACTGATTTAACGTTACAGACCAGAATTCGGCAAGCAATATCCTCGAGCAATAGACGAGGTCTGGTACCGACGAGCTGTAGAACAACACTACATAGATCCTCTAAGTTACGTTTACAGCGTTGACCTGAACACTGATAAGTTCCCTCTCAACGTGAACACGGCTACGATTACAGCAGCCCATGCTGTGTTTCATGGAGATAGCCACAAGAAGGCCCCAGCTGCTGTTGTAGGGTTTCAGTTCAAACACGAGAGACTTCAAGAATGGTTCGAGAATATTACTTCTTCAGTAAGTACAAAAAGTATCAATACAATTATTAGTACAAAGATCGAACACTAAGAAAAATTCCTTCGATCCGGCTGAATGCGAGCCAGCGTCTTCAGCATACCGTGCCGACGCTTTCCGAACTGAGCGAACGAACCAGCAGACATTACGATTTTTACTATGTGCTTGTTGCAGGTATTTGTTGTTGGTTTTTAACGACTTGTTTGCCGTAGCGCCATCTGTGAGAAATCTATGAAAATTTTTCTTCACTCTGCCAGGTTGAGTAGAGATGTAGCTTTTAATAATTGTTATGGATAGGCGTGTGGCTTACCACCAGGCGCACGACTTGTCACTTGGTATTATAAAAAAAAATAAGTTTATTGAATATCACGGTAGTAAAACATCGTGATATTCAATAAACTTAATATTACAGTATTAGTCTAATTTGCTATGGGCAGGAAAAAGGCCCACTTTCAGAATTACCTAACTTGGGCTTACTAATTTCAGTGTGAACACAAAGTCTGTACAACGTGCGATTCGGTTAACTGGGAATGCTACCTGGTGGACAGCAATGCTTGGGTCGTTGTTAGTAAAAATATAAACCATACAGGTCAATTTTTCGGAAGAGTGAGTAGCCAGTTGAAATGGTTTGATGTACAGACCATTTTCATACTAATAAAATAAATAAATACCTAATGTATTAACTAATTTTCCAGGTAAGGCCAGATGTCTTGAAAAAGCTAGTAGATGAAGATGTATTTAGAGCTGTTCATGTAGTGGACTACCAGGCTGTATGCTTCCGGGAAAAGAAAACTACAAATTTCGGAGCCATGTTGAAAACGGTACCTATATTTTTGTTGATTATTTGCGTGATGCAATTAAAAGAAATGTGTAAAAGAATACACAATTCTCCTAATTGTATCTATGAGTTTGTAAATTATTTTAGCCTTTAGAAAATCTGCGGCTTATTGTGACATGGTTCCTGACGACGACTGCTTGGCTTTTGAACTCTGTAGCAACAGTCACGGGTCAAGCATCTAGCTATTCGTTCGACGATGGTAAGTTAACTTAAAATATCTTTTTGTCTATATTTCATGGTCTTGAGTTCGACAGTGTTGGCATCGTCCGTTGCAATCAAATGTTAGTTAAAATTGTTAATATGAAATCAATGTTGTTCTAGTTTACCTTGCGCGTTGTCAGCATGTTCTGTGCAACTTTGCATGACGACGAGCACTTATAGCGATGAATAATCTTCTATCGCTTTCTGCGACTTTAATGTTTAACACTCAATGTTCTCAGGCAGAAAAGCAACCGTATTTACGTCAGAATCAGTGTTTCCCTGTTTCTGTGCATGTATCAATGTTCTAACAGCCAATATCTAATCTTCACACTATTGTAATTATATAATAAATGATTCCAAGATTTATCAACAACTCTCACACGTAACTTTCCAGGGATCAATAATCCTTCGACAGCAATAAGTAGAAATAAATTTCATAAAAAAAAAAGATTAATTTCGTAAAAGAAAACGTGTTTTTGTCTAGTTGTAGGTTCTTAAAATCTACGTAACGTTTAGCTAAACGAAAAAAAACGACTGTATTCAATGTACCTAATCAGATGCATGCGGGTGACAAAAACTTTCACCCATACACGATTAGCAATTATTTCACAAACAACGAGTATAGTGATCAAAATTTCACAATGGAGTCATAATTGGACGTAGCTGTACCTGTATTCAAAGTAGTAACGGCTCCATCTTGTTTTCAGAATATGTAACACCCACTGGTGAGTTTCATAGTACGAGCACTTGTAGACGTGTCGTTCCCTGGCACTGGCACTAATCAATAATTTCGTGTCAGTGATTTTGTCCAGCTCGTAGACTAAACCCTGGAATGTGCATGTACCTTAGCGTTCTTGTTCTCTAGTGTTCTCGTTTTAGCATAACTAACGCCATTCCTACCTTGTCGATTATTATTTTAGTACTCATTGTATGATACCTATAACTTAACATTTTAAGTATGTGTATATTTTATAATTTCTTACATAGCAATGGAGTGTAATGCTGCATGGTTACTGTACATTGCCTACTAAACTCCTGATGTTGTGACTGCTTTAAAATATTTATCCTTCGATACGTTTGGGGACTACAGCTAATAATTATGTTTACTCGAGATAGTTTGTTTATAGTCAATTATTAGAAGTAAGCGGCATAATACGTTCTGTATACGTTTTTCAATTTCAGCTATATCTACTTGATTTTTACAACCAATCTTCATATTGTGTGTTTCTTATGTTATCTTTTTCTCTTCGCATGTACTTTTCTCTTTTTCTTAAACTATTTCTTTTTTTATGTGCATGTGAAAGCAGCTCTTTCTTCAATACTAAATCCACCTTTTTCCCCCAGCTTATCAGAATTACGAGGGCGATGATGATTTAGATGAAGGTGATATGTCAAATAAGCCCGCATCTAAAGCTGTTGAACGCGACTTTGAGAAGCTAGTCCTTATCAATCGAACTAGACCGACGCCCTGTGACAGAGAGATGTATGTTTACCAGTTAGAATACAACAATTTGGACGAGAAATTGAATAAACCTTTGAACGATTGCAAAAGACCTTTCTACGTCCAACTGGTCAACTATACGAATATGTTATTGGTGGTAGTGGACGGATTGTGCCCAGTTGAAGAGGTGACAGTACCTGGTGTAGAACCAACGGAGGTGAACTATAATGAATCATTACCCTGTCTGAAACATGCAAAACCCCTGTATAGAAAACAGCCTGCTTCGTGTATCAGAAATCATACTGAGGTAAGTCTATCAAACTTAATACAGATAAAAAAAGACAGCAATAGTATGGTGTTGAAAGGTAAGTGAAAATACACAGAACACCAGAGTTACTTTACACATTAGAGAAACTTGGTTCAGGATACATTTTTTGTGTTGCATTTCTTAGTAGTGCTGGTGAAACTATACTTGGAATTTGTCAATTTTGTCACAGTGTGGCGGGTGCAGTGGCAGTGCCCTTGATCACTGCGATTTTAAGCTTGAAGTGGCACTGCAGTTGTTAAAGGCTGATTAGAAATATCATCGTAGTTCGTTCGTAAATAAACAGTGATAGCTAAGTGAGGAGAATGTTTTTTTTATAATAATATCAAATGACGGGACGAACAAGTCGTGCGCCTGATGGTAAGCTACACGCCTGTCCGTAACAGTTGCAGTGCCACTCAGAGCTTTAAATGGCAAAGATCAGAGGGGCACTGCCACTGCGCCCGTCACCCTGAGACATATGTTGACAAGTCCCGTGTGCCTGTAATTTCACTAGCACACTTATCCTTCAAAACCGGAACACAGTAATGCTGACATTACTGCTTGGCGGCAGAAATAGGTAAGATGGCAGTACTACCCTGGATGAACTCTTTCATAAGGAGCTCTACTGCTTACCTTTCATATTGGAGGTTCCGAGTTAAAGTCCCATCTGGCCAGTGATGAAGCTTTAACTCGGTAATGCCTCCCGTAATTTCGCATACTGTGCGGTTTATACAGGGAAAAGGAAATTTAATATTTCGTGCAGCACCTCTATTCGTCATACTAAATTACTTTGCTTGAATGACCCATATTCAATGCGCGGTGATACTATTATACAACCTGAACCTCTGAAAAGACTCATGACTCTGCAGCAGTTTTATGTATATGGGTTGCTGTAGTGCAGGTTTTAATGACACTTATGCTCAATTTGCAATATTTAAGAATATGTTTGTCACTTTTTTATAGGAAAGCAACATCGATATGTGCGGCCGTGGTACTCTACCAACCGGCAATCTGTTCTGGATATCATCTGTCATTTTTTTCGTGTTCAAATACTGGGTTTAACTTTTAAAGAGTCTTAAAATTTAATTAAAGCTTGATATGTATTTTGTTCCCGGGAATTTGATAGTTTGTAATAGGTACTAAAATAATATAATTGCTGTTCTAGTCAACAAGACTTTGATTGTGTTTATTATTAGTCTGTGAAATCTTTTGTCATGACGTAATCTTAGTTGGTATAGTAGACTTAGTAAACTACATGTCATTTCCACATATCAGACATAAATGTATTATTTATTTTATTAGATTAGAAAAAAACTCCTAAGGTGCCACATTGTGAGGCATTAGATGTGATATCCATATCACACATTCAATTTGGATAGATATTTTCTATTAAATTCCATAGTTTTATAAGGCAGGCAAGCAGTAAAATATAAAATTCAATAAAATAATTAGATAGCTTTCGATAACCAATTGGCATTTTGAATTTCATATTGTAATAAATTTAAATTCTAATAAATTAAAATACATATATAATTGATATTGTAACCGATTATTTCAAATATTACAGAAAAAGGTTAATGTTAATTCCGTCCTGGAAATAATTTAATCCAACTGGGGTGGAGGATTTAAAACAAAGCTATGTTATACAATTAAAGAGAATTTAGTTGTTGTTACACAATTTAATGATTTTTCTTAATTGTTATATAAAACACACGCATTTTCAATTATTACAGTATTACAGTATATAATTATTACAGTATAGTCTATTTAATTTAGATGTGATCTATTTACTTTCTTGTAAAATGTGTTTATTTATTTGGTACAAAATAAAATATTTATTGTATCAATATTTTGTTTCCATTTACTTCATAAAAAATAATGAACATTTAGAATGGTCTTAACACGTTCATGGACAGTATGTAAATAGTAAATACACAAAACTGTTACTATTTTTTTTGTGCTGTAATGTGGCATTGTAGGCGGCAACTACTTTTAAAGATCCATACATGACAGGGCACTCCATACTATAATATTTTGATATTTAATTTCACGGTAAACGCCATTACTGCCCATCAATGAGTTAACAGCTGAACATGTAATGTACCTACATATTATATGAAACTTTGCTATTTGATATTTACACATTTTAAATGTTATACACAAATATTTGGAACCACAAAATGTCTTCTTTTCTTACAATATTTAAACTGTTACCTATTAATATTTACACGAGAATTTTACTCACATTAACTTTAAACCACTTCAGCTTTTCCATCTTTTTCTGGTGTTGTCTTGGCATTGAAATCCTTTATATTTTCCATGAAGTCTTGAAACCGTTGTTCACGTATTAGGTTCTCTTGTAATTTCTCCAGCTGTTCTCCACCCTCCATGAAGGTTTTCAGACTGTGTTGCGTGCCTCCACCTTCCCTGTGTTCTGTAACTCTATCCTGAGGGTAATTGTAGGTTCTGATCTTTTCATTTCTATTGCCTCTGCCCACCTGGAAAATGTGAGAAGTGTTTGAGAGTATAAATTGGATTCACAATTGCAGCAAGTTGGAGTGAGAAGCAGAAGAGGGAGTAGAATAAGATACGAAAAGGGTTTAGGTTTTGAACAGTAGAATGATCTGCATTATGTATACCAGAGAATAAAATGATCTTCTCCTCCAATTTCAAGAAATTTATTTAAACTGGTTGAACTATTTAGTAAGTAACTAATAACGATGGGGCCACAGAGGTGGTTGAATTTGGAAAAATTAAATTTGTAAGCCGTATTATCCTCACAGCCTTTTCCACAGTGTCACCGTTAAGTAGTAGTACATTTTGACAATTGGTAGTCCAATAATTATGCATTGTGAGAGCTGGTTGAGGAGAGTTCAAGATTTGAGAAAAGACTTTTCTAAATTGGTTCAGGTTTGAGGGTTCTGGGTAGTGCCATGGAGTAACTTCCATAGCTCTAGTAATCATAGAATAGTGAATTCTCTAGTAATTTCCAAATAGGTAATTGGGAGTGTCTGAAAACAAATTCTAATGTTCTAAAAGAATTATAACACACAAACATATTTACAGGCACATGGGACATGTCAATTTATGTGTCAGGGTGACCAGGGTGATAAACGAACTACCGCCTGGTAGCTCGTCCATCACACTGGCACAACTAGTAAACCCCGTCACTTGGTATTAAAAAAGAAATATATACAAATATGTAAAGGTACCTGTGATCTTCGTTCACTATTAATTTTTGAAGCCAGTTCTTCATGTTGCTTTTCTAACAGAAGAGTCCTTAACTTCTGCATGGCTATTTCTTTATTCTTTATTTGTGATCTTCCTTCTTGACATTCCACTACAGTGCCAGAAGGAATATGAGTAATGCGTACTGCACTGTCAGTTGTGTTAACATGCTGCCCACCGGCACCACTTGCCCGCTTTGTTTCTATACTCAGGTCTTTATCAGGTATGTTAATTTCAACATCTGTAGGTTGTGTCAACACGGCTACAGTCACGGTGCTAGTGTGAATGCGCCCACTTTTCTCAGTGGCAGGGATTCTCTGCACTCTATGCACACCAGCTTCAACCCGCATCAACTCTGGTACGCCAAATCCCTCAATAAGCATTGAAGCTTTACGTATACCCCCAATATCGGACTTTTCAAGGGACGCAATAGTAACTTCCCATTCTTTGTAATTAGAGTAGTGTTCATACATTTCGAATAGTTCTTTGGCGAATAGCATAGCTTCTTGGCCGCCTGCGCCTGCCGTCACTTCCAGTAAAACACCGCCCTGCGTTAAAAACGGTGCTAAAAGAACGTTTTGTAACTCTTGGTCAATTTCCTTAAGACGTTTTAAATATATTTCGGCTTCCTCTTTTACCATTTTTTTCATTTCATCGTCACCTTCCTTTTTACTGAGTTCTTTCAGCGAATCGATGCTGTCATATAAGAAAATTCTCTGTTCGAGCGCGGAAACGACGGGCTTAATCTCCACCAGGCGCCTTGACTGCTCCGCGTCGCGCATCTTCACCAAAAGATTTTCATGTTCTACCATTAAATATCCTAGATATTTCTGAACCGCTGGATCCTGAAGATTTACAGTTTTTCGAGAGTTGAATCTCCGAAATATCAGAGAATTCCTTTCAACGTTACACAAGGCTCGAAAGTAACATATCCGTGCAAAAGACATTATAACTAAAACTACAGACGATATTTGACAATTTCTTTGATAGTAATTTTTGAGAAAACTAATAAAATTTATAAAGGTTATGAAAAACAGCTGCAAATTTAAATTTTTTCGTAATATAAATAAAAGGCGAGTTAATCGTGGGACAGAGATGACAATTGAATCGTCAAATAGCCTTTATCGTATTAATAGATTACATCTCGCTAATATCGTTTAAATAAAACGCAACAAGTTCGGATACATGCTTTTTGTACCGGCATCTATTATCGAGTAGCGAAAAAAAATTATTTAATTTAATACAAGCAATCAACACTAGATGGCGCCAAAAATGTAAATTTCATCCACACCATAGAATTATTGAACTACTTCGACATCCTTTCATTAAATAAGTTTAAAATTAAAACAGAAAGTAAAACAAACAGTATAGGTATTGCACTCTTAGCCTTGCTTTTGTGTAGGACGTCCTCAAAGTTAAACTTAGCCGGTCCTTCTTGTCCACTCACACTTGCCATAAAAATATGTTTCTTTGATTTCTTTTACTCGAAAATACCTTACCTATACTTTTTTAAATATACGCCCCGTGGCAAGTACGTATATAGACCTACACATATATATACGAGGGGCGGCTGAAAAATAATCAATCTATAACCTCGTCTTCGCTGATAGTACCTGCAACGAAAATGAATATTCACAATATTTAGAATTTCTGTAAACACACAAATACCACTACATATGCAATTCCGAGCTGTCGCTAATAGAACTATATCTATGAATGTAATAAAAAAACGATCACGGCAATTTTTTTCCCAACATCCCTAGGAAAATGCACCTATTATAATAATAATAGTTCGTAAAGGACATTAATTATTCTATTAAAATAGTAGTTGCTATTTTTAAACGTTTTGCTTTTCTCTTCCGATATGCTGTCCTTGCAAAGCGAAACATAATAAACAAAAGAGTAACGCTAATTTTGAGAAAAAAGAATTAATAGCAAATACGTCTAGATACTATCTAAATACTATAGTAGCCAGTATAGTTTTTGACTTGGAAATAATCAAAAGAGATTACTTTTCAGCCGCCCTTCGTATATAATTACTAATATCTCTAACTATATGACATAACAGACACAAAATCGCGTGCCACCCTCTTTCTGTGTCAATTGTAACGAATAGACGAGTGAAGGCATTTCAAACATTTCCTATAGGCTTCGCCGCAGACCGCAGCCTATTGATAGAATTATTAGGGTTCGAAGCTTCCTCTGTCGACCGCAAGGACGCTTAGCTCTCGTATGGAGTTATTAGTGCTAATGACTACGGACTGTCGGACAGGCTATTGTCGTCATTTGACCGCATCGCTTCCTTTTCTTTAGCGACTGTAGGTGAGAGTCAAAAGCTGACTGGTGTACACTTTAAACGCACATGTAAACGCACTTCAATTTTATACTATTTTCCTACATTTTTACAAAGTTCGAGTGAGAAGTTGCGATTCGAGTAGCAGCTTTGTAACCGAAGGAAATATTATCAGATAAAAACAAAATCATGTTATGTAAATAGATAACATTTAATGTTAATATATAATATACAATGACGTATGAATTGTATGCCTAGTACCTACTTCTTGAGTACCCTAGGCAATAATTGGCGAGTACCTTACGTGCATTGGAAAATCCTTTCACGACAATGGCAAACATATCCCATGCACAGTTTAGCATGGCAGCCATTTGCGGCGTGATTACGGCTGAGTTCTGGGCCGTACATAGTGTCATATAATATAGTGTATGCCATCGATACCATAAGAAAAAGATAACAATTTAATGAGAGTCTAAAAATGAATTAAACCGTAAACCCTAAAAGTACAAAAATGTCTCCAATAATAAAAAGCGAGCAAACATGCTATGATTTAGTATCATACTTAACAAAGAAATAATAAAGAAAACATTTGAACTTTAAGCCCCTTAAATTTCTACGTATAAGTACTACATTTGCGATCAGAAATAACTTTTTATGTAGCTTAAATGATTTTTTATAATTTACCTTGTTTTTATGATAACTCAAAAAAATAAAAAATCATTTTATTCTGCTCGATATGAGCTGCCATGAATTTCGTTGCTACTATAATCGCGACTCGCTTTTAGTTTTCACCAAACTTTCTATAATTTCCAAAGAATTAGGATACAGTTGAAGTGACCGCGGCCCATTCATCCAATTCCGCTGTTAAATAATTAGAGCGGTTGCCAACTTGCCACCTATTTATATGAGCTCACGACTCCTTTGCGCCATTTGTGATAATTTTCTTTTTTACATTAGCGAATTAAAAGCAACGACTTAACCACATATTTTTTGTAAACCTTAATAGAGGTTTTTATATTTTTAACAAAGTAGCAAGGGATCAAACATACAACAGGAGAGCGTTCAGGCCACAGTGCATCACACTGGTCTATTGCAATTTGGGAACTAATACGTTTTCCAAAACTTTATGAATTGTGTAGGTTTCATCAAGATGTTCTTCCTTAGCCTTAAAATATTTATTTTAGAATAAATAAGTGCACATTTAACTTCGGTTTTTACCTGCTAGATGGGGCGCGCACTCTTATACCTAATGCCTATTCCCTCACACCGTGAAAAGGCTCAAGTAAAAAGCGTAATAAATTAATAAACTAAATTGCACATGATTTGAAAAGATTTTGCGGTGCAGTTCTCAAAATGGTATTCGAAACCACCTACTTAAGAACCTAGCCTTCTCTCAACATGCTATCATAGCTTCTTTAGCAAAACTCAAGCGTTTGCTTGAGTTTTGCTAAAGAAGCAGTGAAGCAGTGAAGCAGTGAGTACAGCAGTAAATAATTTAATAAGTAGCTTCCCACAGTCGCGTGCAAACTAGGTCATCACTGTTAAAGTCGTCAATAATATATATAGGAATAAAATATTTTAAATATCTACGCAAAGTAAATTCTTGTTGCCTGTATAAATTTCACATCCAGATCGCACATTTTTTTTGGGTAATCAAACCAATTTTGGCAAATTCAAAATAATTTTTTGCTGATAACGTTTGCCGTTATGAGTAAACAAAAAACAAGATATTGTTTTAGGTGATAATGTAACTTGTTTCCATCTAATCCTATCAATCACAATTATTGCAGTAACAATGTTAAATGACGAATTGAATAATGAAATAAAATCTCTCTTAATTGCTTCCAACTATAAACAAAACAAAAACTATAAAAACCTTAAAAACAATTACATACACTTAAGTTAGTAGATAACTAAACATTTACAGGCCAGGAAGCGAAAGGAGGTGTTTCAGTTGGTGCTGTTCTTGTTCAGGACAGTCGTATCGCTGGTTTACAATCAACGCCTTATTTTGACATTATCTTGTTGTGATTTATTCAATTAAGAATTCGTCAAATGAGACGTTATTGGAATCCATTCTTTTTTTTCAGTATAGTCGGAACTTTTGTTACACCCTGTATGAAAAGATGTGTAGGTGTACTATTCTGTTATTAAAAAAATGTAACGTGACTCGATTATGATGGAACATAGTACAAAGTTTTGTGATATCAAGTGGCGGGACGAACTAGCGTGGGCCTGGTGGGAAGCGTAACGCCTGTCCATAACAGTTGCAGTGCCACTCAGGGTCTTAAATCGCAAAGATCTGAGAGGCACTGCCACTATGCCTATCACCCTACACATATGTTGACAAGTCCCACGTGTCTGTGATTTCTCCAGCACCCTTACCCGTCAAAACAGGAACGCAGTAATGCTCACATTACTGCTTGGCGACAGAAATAGGTAAGGTTGGACGCTCTGGGCGAACTCTTTCACAAGGAGCGCTGCTGCTGTTATGGCTAGAGTCTGTGAAATATATGTCGCCCGCTTGCCAGAACAACGTGTTATCTCTAATACATTGACATATATAAATAACACGTTGTTCTGGCAAACGGGCGAATTGTGGTCAGCTGTACACGTCGTAAACTATTAGATAGATTTATTGGTTTGCAATTATTAATAATAATAAGCCTTTATTCCAAAAAAATATATAAAAAGCATTCCATTTATACAAATATGCAAAATTAAAATTAAATTAAAATGAAATTAGAATACCTAATTATAGTTTCGAATTTAAAAATGCGATTCTCATTTTATTGGAAAGATATCTCCGCGGCCAGTCTCGTCAGGGTTACCCACCTGGGTGATATCGTCCCTCCAGAGCGTCGGCGCGGCCACTCTGGCGGCCTATGGTTGAGTCGTGGGTATTTCAAGTCAAGACGACAAGCCTTTTTTGCCGCGTCTATTATCTTCTTTTGTCTTTGAATATCTGCACTAGTTATTCTTTGTTTTATTTTTATGCCTACCATGTTTCTTGCCACCGCTCTCTGGAAGACTTGGCTTTTGCATATTGTTCCTTTTGTTATAGACCACGTTTGACAAGATGGGTGTCACGATGGTGTTCAGTGCTTTATTTTTTTTTGTTGCAATCATTCGTTTGTTATAAATGCAAAAATATCAACTTCTACATTTGAGCGAGCTTACAAAAGTTGTAACAAACCTTGAGTCGTAATTTTCCTAAAATCGAGTAAAGAACTTCAAAGAAGTGAATGCAAACATATAGCGGCAAATATTTCACTCGAATTGGAGCAGGGTAAATTGCCTCAAGGAAGGTTTCGCGCGCAAGAACAGCCGCAAATATTGGTTCACTAAAATTCACTACAACCTCGTAAAAACTAAGTGGACGCCTTTGTTCAGGCTCAGATTATAGCAGTGAGAAAATTCCGGTACGATAAAAGTGATTGTTAGAGATTATTGAATCTTCGGTGTAAATATTTTTTATATAATATCATATATATTTTCAAGAGAGCTCTTCCCGTTGAATACTTAATTACTTATTATACTTATTACACGTATCTTATAAAGATAAATATGCAGTTATTGTGCAATTTAGATATAGTCGCTTTAATAGACTTTAAACATGGCTGAAAGAATACAATAATAGTAAGTGACGAAAATTCTTGATTGAACTACGTAATAACGATTAAATTTATAATATTATATATAATAAAGCCATTTGTGTTCATACGCCAAAAGTGCTTTT